GCGCCGTCGGCCGGCCGTCGGGCCCGGCGGTCGTCGATCGAACTGGCCGATGACGTCAGAGGCACGCGCGCCGCGCCGCTGCAGAATGAAGGCGACGCGATGATGGGTGTTTCGCCGGCGAGCTCTGTGCCGACGCCGGGTGGGCTGCCGTCCGCAGGGGGTACGCAGTACGCACAGGGACAGACGAGGGATGCACCAGCAGGGATACACCATACAGTGAGCGACAAGTGGTGGGCAATTCTGGGCGTAAGTACCTCTAGCCTCTAAAGACAACTGCAGAGGTTGAGATTTTTACTTTCCCGAGGGAATCTGGATGGTGATATGGCCTCGTGTCGAGATGAAGAAAGAACATCGTTAAGATACAAGAGCTAAGAGCTGCAATAAATTATAGCGCTGCTTTCTCCTTCTGCGACCATTCATATCAATGCACATGGCACATGCATACAAAACTCATGAACACTTGCCATGGCGATGCACATCAACACTGTTCCCAGAGACGATACGGCGGCATCAGCTGCCTTCCGTCGACCTTCCCTCGCTGGACGGGACACCGATCGGGCCTCGATCGACGGCACAAACAGCCGCCGCTCGCAGCATCAATATCTCCTCCGGAGCCGACGCCGTTCTAGCTGCCTCCTTATCTCTGCTCCCCACCGGCTGATCACGAGGTCTGAGTAAGCAGAAATCCAACTGACGCAAACATCTGCCAGCACCGTTCGCAGCCCTGCGTTGAACACCACAGCGCGGATAGAGCATTGCGGCACAGCATGTATTCAGGCGCAACCACTAGTGCCATCTAGGGAGAGCGGAATGAAAGGGCTGGCCTAGTCGTCCCGGCGCGTTTGTTGCTAAACTGGGTGAGAGAGTGAGAGTGAGATGGATGCATATTGTTCCCTACCTATTTTACGAGTGAATGGTAGCGCAGGGACGGCAAAGTAACAGCCGACAGCTGGGGCATTCCACGATAGATCGTACCAGGCCCGTCACCCTCATCTCTCAGATTTGAATGAAAATTGGTACAAGGGGTAATCATAGGCTCCAAAAACACCTGCCAAAATATCAGACTTCTCAGATGAAAACTTTTTGAGTTACATTGCATAATGTTTTCTAAACTTCAGATTGTAAGGGTGAGTTTGATGAGCTATAACTCAAAAACGAGCTAAGCAAGCAACAAACGGTAAACAGCTTTGAACTAACGATGAATCAAAGATTAATACAGTATTTTTAAAATTGGAAAGAAAAGCTTTACATATTGAAAAAAGGCGTAGTATATTTTTAAATTGTCCGTATAATGGCCCTTGGGACCAAAATTTTTGCCATTTTTATTTCTTCAAAATAAACCTCAGGTCCTTTAAAATCGACATGCCAAAAATTAGAAAGGTGTTCTTTCTATGAGATCCTCATTTAAATGTTTGTGGTTGTCGGGTGAACCGAAAAATAAATAAATAATAAAATAAAATAAAATGTATATAACATGGGTTTCCGGGGGGTCGGTACGACCCCAGCTCGCCGTTTCGCCTCTAATGGAGCTAGAACCTTGCGGAAAAAACGAGCATGTGCGCCGTTACAAGATGCATCGAATGATACCTTAGTTTAAGATCTCGGGTTGATTGGTGACCCCTGAGGTCATTTCAAGTGACCCAAATTACGGGTCCGGTTTTTGATAGATAACTTCGCAACAAATGGTCGTAGAGCCGCGATTTTAGCATCTTTGTGTTTGCCTTGCTCCGGCGCGTCGAATGGTATACTGTTTGTTCTGGTGAGATCAGCTTAAGTCGCTGACCTCGGGTCAGCACACTGCCGTGTATTTGGCTCCGCTCCCCGACCGGGCGGCCCAGCCGGCAGCCAGCCCCCGGGCATCACGTGACCGCCCGAGTCCGCGGCAAAGCCAACCAGCGCGGCGCTGGGCAACGCGGCGCTGGACAAACAGCGCCGCTACAGAGATGGTTTACAGTCGGGTCAGGCCACGAAGCTGGGTGAATGAGATCATATTGCACATCATTCGATTCGTAAGGTCTTCCCGAGTCCATTGGTAGCTTTCCCGTCTCTCTAGCTCAATCTGATCGAGAGTTATTGACGAAAAACTCTTATGACCCTAGTGACGTACGAATGACGTCACGCAAGGTCAACAACTCAAAAGTGAGGCAAAAATGACTTCAATTGAACTTTCAGTAACCAGTGATGTCACTAGGCAGCTTTACTACAGCATTTGTAGGCTCTCTTCCGAAATCACAATTTGAGACTATTACGGTGACGCAAAATAAGTACATTTATAGAAAGAACACCTTCCTAAATTTTTGCATGCTACTTAAAAATGATCCAAAAATGTTTTTAAGCAAATAAAAATTCAACAAAATTTGGTCCCAAAGGCATAAAATTGCAAATGAAAGGAAACTCGAGGTGTTATACCTATATCAAAAATAGTATATATTTCAAAATTTTAAAAATGCATATTATTCTTTGTTTCAATGCAAGTTCAATGCCGTATAGCATTTGGCATTTAGATTATCGGTCTTAGAGTTACAGCCCGCCAAACTTGGGACTGCAACGCAAGATCCAAAACATGTTATACACTATAACTCAAAAACCACTCATCTGATAAGCCTGAAATTGTTACAGGAGGATTCAGAGCCCCTGATTACCCCTCAGACCAATTATTGTTAAAATCCGAGAGATGAGGGTGTCAAATTGGAAAAAAAGTGGTACGATCTATCGTGGAATGCCCCAGCTTTCAAGAATTTGAAAATAATTTTGTTACGAATTTAGCTGTCCGATCACGATTCACGGATCAGACTAAGCGTAAGTGATGCGTGAAACTCTTAGTGTTTTCGCATTAGGTATCTACTGATTGCTGAGACTCATGTAAGAAGCGGAATACCATGATTCAGTGGTGCAATTCAGCTCAATATCACCAAAAAATCAAATTTTAAAGGCCGGCCCCAGGCCATCTTATGTGGACGGTCCGTATCTCGGCCAATGTGAGGACTGAGGTATGCATTCAGTGGAACATTCAAATGCTAACGTATAAAACAATATGGAATGATAACCACCTAACGTATAACTATGGTCAAATTAACTAGGAAAATGCCTTTGAAGAGTTTCAATGCAATATTGCTTGATATGAACATGGTAATATTATGGTACAAAAACAGCTTTGATGTTAGTGTTTGAAGATGGGTGAGATACAACGCTCAATTTGTTTTGTCGGGGAACGTGAGGCCCGCTGATCCTGGCTAATCTGTTCCTTCCTGGGCCCACAGCGCCCACGGCACTGTTACCGGGTAAAGGAGAACGAGCCAGCCGACCGTCGCAGCATCGATAAGGCCTCCGAGTCTTCCACACCCGGAAACGCACTAATCTCCTCTTTTCCAGTTACCAGGTGTTCAGAGAAATGTTAATGCCAGTATACGGTCAAGCCCAACGTGCTTCTTGTGACTAAGTGAGACGTGAAGAGACAGCACCTACTGGACGATGTCGTGAGGATGAGAGCTGGGCAGTGGAAGTTTGTTAAAGCCATCGAGAAAAGACAAATATCATGCCCGCTTCGCTTCAAAAGTCAGAAGAAGGGAGCAATGGAAGAATCGTGGATCTAACTATATTTTATATTGATGTCATTGCACTTGAATTCTCAAAGCAGAAATGTTACTGTGTAGAAAATAAAAACATAAAATATCCCAAATAAGAATTATTTTTCAGCTTTGAGTGCAATTACTAGACATGACGTTTAGTTATCCTATGTATGTACCTATCGTATTGAACTTATTCAAACCGACAGAACATCGAGAGACGGCGAAACAGACGGCGAAAACGGGATTGCAGGGGCTGTACAGATTTGTAAAACCCCCACTTATCAAGTTTGCTCAATGACATGATCCCGCTCATAGTCGGTTCGGCTCTGAACCATGATCATCGAGACATTAGCATCGGAGCTAAAAAGCTGCTCCATTAGTCGAGCCAAGACCGTCTAGCGACCACGTAAATAACAAAACAAAACAATACCACCTATTAAACAAAACAATAAACAAAACAATAACAATATATCCTACGTGATCCCGCCTATAATTATGTACGTCTTTTTTTTTACCCCGCGGATGTGCGGAGGGCTGGTAGGACGAGGCTGCCGGCGGCGGCGTATCGCAGCGCCGTTATCCGACACACGTCGTCAGCCCGTTCGTCGAGCAATCTCCCGGAATAGTGCGCCTTAGCCGGAATCCGTGCACGCGGCGCCGCGCCCCGGGCAGCCGCTCGTGCCGCCGATTCCGCTCAGCCGCCGCTGCAGGCGCTGAACCCTAATGGTGGCCATTGATTGGCGGTATGAATAGCATCAGTTGGCATATTCACCATTACCGGGGCTGGGACGAGAACTGCAAGGACTGCCGCGACAAAAAACCATAGCCCAGTGCGTGAGCTACGTTGTTTGAGCGTTACCTGAATGGGTGGAGTGTCATGTGGCCTACTGCGGACACCTATACAATATACATATATACATTGTCAGAATCAGTGCTTTATAACAACACAATATATTCCACTTGCCCTAGCGACCTTAGCAAGTCGGCAGTGTTTTGAGCCGGTGTGCATTTCCACAATGTGGCTTGTTTTTGTGGCCGGTATCTTGACCTGAATCCAGAATCATTCGGGGGAGGAACGGTATGCCAGGCTGGGGACCTATTCTCTATGAATCCACCTACGATATTGATGTGGTGATCCCCTGCAAGCAGGTCGAATGTTGGCAAGCTAAACGTGCATAGAGCGCCTCTAGCGGAAACCTACCGAAACGGACATTCCTAATAGTGTAGCGTCAGATGGCACCACTTCTCAACAGATCTGTGCAGGCAGAATGCAAAATGCACTATGAACTGCATAGTGGAACTATGCGCCAATGTTGCTGGGAAAGAATTGATGAACAAGGCGAAGCGCAGCGCAGGTAACATATCTTCGAAATGGGGATGCTTAGCTCGATTCTGAACGGTTTTACAGCATTCAACAACGAAACACACCGATGCTATTCATACGTTTATTTAGGAGCCAACAAGTGAGGACCAGCGCATCTCCAGACGTATGTACACAGGAAAAAAGGACAACACCACAATGAGTCCAGCCGTACGGGCCACCAGCGCTGTGATCGTAATCAAAATATGACCGCTCGCCAACAACATAGTTCCTGACAGTGTCCAATCTCACAGTTAGCCCTGGCAGTTGCCACACATAAAGGGCGACGTCTTTTCCTCGGTCGGACCCGTTCCCAAACAATTCTAAATCTCGTCTGCGCTCGCCGTTGATGTTCGGAAATGTCTTCGGGGCGCTTCCCAGCCATCCTAATCACAGAAACCAGCGTGGCATCGCACACAATTCCAATCACCACCGTTCACCAACGACACAAAACACAACACAAACTGAATCCAAACACCACACCATATAGAGCAACACAAGACCCACAGGCAGCTCAATATAATGCACAATGCACTTCTACAGCCCTGGCGCGACGCTCGAACCCTGCCTCTCGTTCACCGCCTGGCGTCGGTCGTCTAGACAACCATGGGAGCGTCCCCTGTCATCTCGAGTCGCGTTGTGTCATCATGCGGCATTCGAGCAATCTACGAATCATCGTGATATAGCGTGATGGTGGTCATAGTATAGCTTCTCCTCGTCGGTCGCAGGCTAACAGACGCCTACAGTTCGTCGTGGTAGGTGGGTTGGTAGGTCCGGCAAGCACCTACAGCTCGTCATGGAACAGCTGCTCGCCCTCGGCTGAGGGCCGCTCACACACCGCCGGCGTCTCCAGAGAGAACTTGTACTCACACTTGGCTGGTTCAGTGACATCCAGTACGCGTGTCTCCTCACCGCAGGCAAACGTCACCTGTTCGGCAACACGGGGACAGGAGACGTCAGCTGATGTCAGGGAGGGTCGGGTGAACGTCATGAGGTCAAGGTAATACAATACAATACAATACAAGGTTTGGTGAGGTCACCAGTTTAAATCAGGGCAGAGGTCGAAAATCAGTGTCAAGTAGCGTAAGGAGAGGCCAGGGTTAGGACATAACGTCATTAGAGAGATCGATGATAGAGGTCAATTTAAAATCATGAGCACTGAGCAGGTAACGTTCAAAGGTCTGGAGGCGTCGGAACCACGCGAGGTCAGTAGGTCAAGATGAAGTGAAGTCAATGAACCATGAGAGCGATCATGCGAAAGTGAACAAATACGAATGATAAGAATGCAAGCGTGGGATGTGACGGCGCTGCGAGTGTCATACGGTACACTTGCTCACAAAGTGTTCTCCTCATATCACAAAGCTCATCAAGCTGACACCCTCCCGCATCATTCACCTTATACATCCATTGATCTTAGATGCACCGTGAAGTCATGATCGGACGACCTCCAGCTATGTAAATTACCCAAGGATATTGATGTGATTTTTCCACCCTGGCAACCCTCTGGTGTCCGGTGAACCATGAATGATTGTCTATCGCAGTTGATGCCAGTCTAGCGTGATATGCGTCATCCAGTAAACGTGACGCAAATCACCATCCACCGAGTCATTAAACAGTCAGGGAGTTCGCTGTCCGTATTATTCTCCAGGTATAACCCCGAGGCCGACTGACCACCTGATGGACAGTGTAATCACCACGGAATCTTATCTCGGTCGGATGGTTGCTGACTGCTGAGGCTAGAAATTATGACAACGCGGACGAGCTAATCGGCGCCGTGCTCAGCCTAAGACCCAATGACAAAGGAAAAACTACCGCACAACGGCATACAGCAGACATTCCTCACCACAAGCCGATTGGGACTGTCTGAGCGGCATTAGAATAACTGCAAGTCGCGGCTTAGCTCAAAGATTCCGCCTCAACCCTGTCTGGGATGCATGTCCAGCTAATGTGTACCATACGCTTCAATGTAAGGTGTGCCAGCATCCCCAGATCAAAGATGGTGCAGGCTGATTAGCAGTCACAGTAGAGAGCATAAGGAAAGCGCATATGCATGATTCAACCTAAAAATAAACGCCGATCCTCTAGCATGTGTACAATAGCCTCTAGGATGCCGGAAGAAGCTTTACGAAGCATTAGAAGCATTAAATCATAAGAATATTGCTCTGTTCACGTCTCAAGAGCTTGAGAAGGCCATCCTTTCGGATCATAACGCATTTCGGAGTTAGTTTTCGGAGTTAGTTTTAGCATTTCACATCACCCGAAACAAGTTGGATCGAGGAGACGCCAATGCTGATTCTCATTTATTATGACGCATGGGCACTGGGCACTACACTGAGCAAATCTCTCTCCATTTGTCTCTATGTAGCTACCAGATAAACGTTAGTGGAACAGGACTGAGCGGACATGAAAGCCTGGTCTCGTTCCCTTTAAAAACCCACATAGCTGACCAGACAATGCATCATGTGGCCAGGATTAATAACTTTTTATTCTTCGGAAAAGCAGGAGCCGCATCTGCAAAATTGAGCTTGTCGATAGGCATATTTCACTAACAAAGGCATTATCGTATGGCCAGCACATTATAACTGAACCGATGGAGGCCGTTCTTCTGACAAAATGCCACTCCTCTGTCATCGACAATGGGTCGGAAATGACAGGGACTAGGGAGCGGCTCCAAGATCACTACACAGCGGAGATGAACATTCGCGACGGACAGCGGTCTAACTAGGACCGGTTTACACCGTAACCAGGCACAAATCATCACAAAGGGGCATATACAAAGGCAGTCTGATGGCACCCGAGAGCCTTTTATTTGTAAGAAGATTTCTCACGGATTATTGGAGCTGTAGACATTTAGCTTGGCCTTGCCCTTGAGATTCCTGCCGAGTTAGTTCAATGACAAAGCTTGTGATGTTCACCAGTTAGCAACTTCAAGACATTAATTTCGCTGTCTGAAGTTTTAAGTTTCAGTGCCGTACCTTCCATCAGAGTATCTTCAGATGCCTACATTTCTCACTAAGCTATAGACCAGCGGTGGAACTTTGTTTGCTCGGTGCAAGCTTACGTCGGCCGACCACCCAGAGCTGGCATCCCATTAAACCGAGCAGCGACAGGCGGCACAGCACAGACGGCTCGACAGGAACAGAGTGCTCAGCGTGTCTGGTGTCAGTCAGATGACTGAGCTTTGGCAGCTTGTGGCAAAGGCTCAGATAATGGTCAGAGCTCTGACAGACAATGGTCAGAGCTCTGACAGACAAAGGTCAGGGCAGTGACAGCACAATGGTCAGAGGTCTGAAAGACCATAGTCGGAGCTGTGACCGACAAGGGTCAGGGCTCTGACAGGCCATGGTCGGAGCTCTGACAGACAATGGTCAGAGCTTTGAAAGGTCAGCTGTGAGACAATGGTCAGAGATGCGACACACAACGGTCAGAGCTCTGTCGACGGCGATTTATGATAACAGACGGTTAGTCACACTGTGACTAGCGTCATAAGCGAGAAAGGGAGCTGCCGGGGGCTGGCGAAGCAAGATGAAGGATAAGTTGCATGCATGTGGAATCCGAAGAACCGGTGACTCACGAAAGAGTCCCGACTTAGCACGGGTGATCCCAATGGACGCATACCTGCTACGTAGAATCTACTACCCAGAACGGATTACAGAAAAAGCAACGATCCAGCAATCAACCGGGATCAGTATCCCAGCTCGCCACTTCAGCGGTAAAACCGCAAGTGACAAAGCCACCCAATCACCACGGTGATTCGAACAGCACGATCTGACAAGATGACCGTGCCGCGGTCGATCCTCCCGGATTCCCGAGTCCGGCAGCAGGAGACAGACCGGTCTGGGACGACCCCACCGCACCGCGCCGGCCGGCGGGGGGCGCTCAGTCGCCCGTCATGCCCGCCGCGCTGCACACCGCGCCTCCGTCCCCGCTCCGGCGGCTGGTGCTGGCGGTGGTGACGGTGGTGCTGGTGGTTGTGTCAGTGCCAGCCGCTGCCCAGCTGCGGGGACCGGTGCTCAGCGCGGCGCGGCGGCCCTGCAGCACCCCTGACGGCCGGCTCGGCTCCTGTGTCTCCACAGCCGAGCCCGGCGGCTGCCCGGCGTTCCCGACTCTCCAGACACTGCTGTCAGCCAGACCGACACTCTGCGCCACCGATGGACCGTACATCGTCTTCTGCTGTCCACATGTCAGCCGGCCGGCGAAGCCGCTGCTGACTCTGTCGCCGCCGCTGCCGCTGGCGTTGCTGAGGGGCAGTGCCGCGGCGGCCGACCGACTCGCGGCCATAGTCACCCAGCTCGTCACCCCAGAGCCCACGCGGACGCCGATTCCTGCTAAACCAAACACCAGGACATCGCAGTCCGGGAGCGCAAAGACAGGAACACCGTCTAAACTGCTACTGCCTCCTCCTCTAGTGCCGCTGGCGGCTGTGAGAGAGGCTGCAAAGGCGAGCGTAAGACCCGAGCGGCCATCCAACGAGTCTCACGCACTCAGTGTTACCCAGACACCGCCAACAGCAGTGCCGACAACAGTGCCACAAAGCGAGGCGACCCAAGACAATGCCACGGAAACACCAGAAACTGTGCAAACATTGACCGGATCAACAGAAGAAACAACGAAGGCTGAACAAGCGGAGAAACAAGTGGTTCCGAAGTCCACACAGCCAGCTACCACTACAGCAAGGAGTACTCAAACAAAGGAGAAGTCGAGATCGCCGACAAAGTCGCAAGAACTGCCAAAAGAACAGCGACAGACAACAACGGTAAGTCCGAAACAAACAACGGAGAAGCCAAAAGTGGGCAAAACTACGCTGGAGCCAACGAAAACGAAACCCGATGAAAGTGAAAAAGAAACGTCAACCAAAAAGTCGACTGAAGAACGAGAAAAGACGACCAAGAAGTCAGAAGTAACAACAGCAAAGCCAGAACCAAAGACCACAACGCCGGCACCGACAACCCCTGAGCCCCAGCGGACAACAACGACAGAGTCGACTCCAGCCACCAAGAAGACACCACCGCCGCCGCCACCGACGACGACGACGTCCTCCCCTCATCGCCGACCATCGTTCAACTCATCTCCATTCCTCCTGGCCGGCGGTCTATTCGTGACGCCCCCTAAGCACCTGGAGGCGCCCACCGAGGCGCCGCTGGTTGACCTCCCGCCGGTGCCGGCTCTCTCGGCCCTGCCGGCGGCTCGGCTGGCTGGTGCCGAGGAGTGCGGACGACCGTCAGCTCCCTGGGTGGCTCTGGTAGGCAGCCGGCGTCACTGGCTGTGTGCCGGCGCGCTGCTCGGGCCGCGTCTGGTACTGACTGCCGCGCGGTGTGTGGAAGGTCGGACGCCAGAAGACCTGGTGGTGCGGCTCGGAGAGGATGGCGAGACGGTGATGAGTGGGGTGCTACGCGCAGTGATCCACCCTCTGCACAGCGGAGGACGGCACGATCTGGCTCTGCTGCTGCTCGCTGGAGGACCGGCAGAAGGAGGGGTCTGTCTATCCACCGGCCGACCCACCTCCGAGCTGCGTACACTCGGCCGCGGCGTCAGCCCGTTCGGCACCTCCGGCCCGATGGGACCACTCCTGAGTACCACCATGTCCGAGGTACGCAGCTCTGACTGTGACGCCGCCTACCGCGTACTCCCCACCTACCGGCGAGAGTTTCCGCTCGGTATCAGCGGCACAGAGGTGTGTGTGGCGGCCGCCGGGCCGGACACAGCCGAGAGGCGCTGTCCTCAGGACCGCGGCGGGCCTCTGGTTACAATCGGCCGGGGCGGCCGCCTTCAGCTGGTGGGTCTGATGAGGGAGGCGGCCGGGTGCGGCACAACGGTTTTCCCCAACGTGTACACGCGGCTGAGTGAGTACAGCACCTGGATTGGGCGCACAGCTGCCGAACTGGCGGCCTGATGGGAACGGAAGAAGCCAGTCCTGTCGCCGTTCTGTGTCACTGTGGGGAACAGCCATTGCCTCCCATATGACTAAAGAGGCACCAGTGGCAATGCCGTGATTCCACGGTCTCGACAAGAGTAGTCGCCATTACAGGATCAAAGCTGGCTGAGCTGTGTCGGAAGGCCTAATGTAGGGCTAAAATGACGCCGGCATGACTCCTGACTCCCTAATCCACACGGCAGGCCAGTAATGGCGACGACTCGTACAGAACAAAAGGACGGCAGCGGTTGCAGTTGGGGCTGGCAGAATGGCACGGCTGGCCGTTCACGGGCATTAGAGAACCAGGACATTCGCCGAGCTCAAACCAGAGTCGACGGCATAATCCCATCATCATTCACTGTGTATTACTGTCGGATCATTTGTGAGATCTCAGCGGAGACCAATAAACAGAGAAACAAAGTCGGGTTTTATCGTGCGCAATACCGCGTTCTGGGACAGCGGATATATTATTTGCTCCACGGGGATATGTCATAAATGAGACGAAGGTTGTGCGACAGGCCACCGGGTTTTCAGATCCGTTAAAGGGACTATCCCACCTTTAACATGGGGTTTGAGTTGAGATAGCCAAGTTTGCGGCGAGGTTCAGAAACCACTATCTATCTAGGTTGGAACCCCCGCGGCCTCTTGGTGTTGAAGAAATTCGTTCCCTTCATTTGAAAATGGGCCTTGTACAAGGCCCTATCTTCAACATGGAGCGACCGTTAGTGTGACGTCACCTCGTTTAGTCATTCTGATTTAAATGGGTTTGTCCGTTGAAAAATCGCTTAAAACTTGGTCTGAACTTTGTTGTGGTGCCTACAGAGTAAAAAGAATCAGCTTTATGACAGTAATGTGGCCTGGGGAAGGAGGTAAGTTTGGGCTGTGACGTCACATATTTGAAAGTTTGTGTTTGGAATATGGGAAGCCTAAGATGTTTAATGAAAAATAAATGCCAGAACCGTGTTCCTGGTCATCCAATCTATAAAGTCGGGCACAATTTAACTGGTTTTAACAACATTTTAGAAGGTGGGATAGTCCCTTTAAGCCGTGGAAATCCCGGTGAGTTATTTCTTGTCCCAAGTCACGGATACAATACGCCGTCGGTCGCAATCCTAGAGACCGTGCAAGACACATACGTACTCATCCCGGCAGTCAGTCGCAGTGCTAGCCAAGTCCTATTGCGTGCCACACGCAAACTGCTCACTTCCCAGGAAATCAAGTTATCGTCGATCACAGAGGCGCATATATGTACGGAGTGAGACTCATCCTATTGGTAGAAGCCATCAGCTCGAGGCGTCACTGTTCCGTGAAACATACTACGCAGCTGCATGAATATAATTAGACAAAATCAGCAAGGTCTATTCGTTTATGGGTGACCAAATATATTAAAGATCAAACTCTGCACCAAGATAATTCGTTTTCTGGATGACAAGTTCTATCACAGCTCAACGCATCGACCCCACTATGATTGTTTTGAGAACAGCGTTATATAGTGTGAAGGGCATACAAACAATACAGCGATACATCGCGCCGACTGGCTTTGACCGTAATGGCTCTCTCTCTGATGGCATAGGCGGCGGAACGGGGAGGGCACCGGGGCACCGTGCCCCCCTTTGATTTTGGCATTTTAACATTGGCCCTATGGGCGTTGCATGGAAAGAATGGGACCAAAAGTCGGCAGTGCCACCCCCCCCCCCTTAATTGAAGGTGTTCCGTCGCTACTGTGATGTGCCATGTCTATCGTCTAGATTATTGCAAGCACAGGCAGATCTTTCAAAATCTCCTGCGTCGCACTTTTCTATGGTAAAATATCCTGTTATTGGAGTTTTCAATGAATTGACAGACTTCACTTCACCTTACTGTTACTCAAATCTTTTTCTGAAAAATGCTGAAACACGCAGCTGTTTCAGAACTTTTCGATATCCGGGTTTCTTTCAGCGAGCACAGGTTTCCTTTTGCAGACAGCGGTGTGTTCTCACGGAGACAGACAACATTCCCAGGGTTATCAGCATGATCTGTCGGGCACTTTATCCCCCAAAAGACAGATGAGATCGGGAGTAAAGCGCTTCAAATCCAGTCGCTACCTCTCAACCTGCAGACATACTGTGACGTTTGCGTTAATCTTCGCCTGAGCGGGTTTGTTTCTTAGAGGATGCAATCATGATATACGTAGCATACTTGCTATTAGCATACTTGAGTTGATCGAAGTTGGGCACATCTGTCACTGACATCTGCCGAGTTCACACAGAGGTAGCGGATTACAAAGTTCCCGAGGTCCACTCGTGACCCCAGCTTTAACGACCGTCGAGTGTATCCAGCAGCTCAAAGTCTACTGGACGGAAAAGTTGAGCTATGAGCTTGTCACTCAGCGTCAGAAGCAGTCGCACGATGAGATCTTCCTCTCATCGCCTTCCGGGTTATCACGTGAAAACAAAGAGACTGCCTGTCCACACTGGAACTTGGAGCGCGACTCTCGGTCATATAAAATGTGTAAAATGAAAACGATCAACCTTGACAATGAATGTCTATTGAAGCTATCGTATAGTAGCTTCATTACCCAGTTAGGTAATTGATAAGTTAGTGCATATTCGTAATATACCGTAAAAATTGAAATGAAATTAAAACATACACTGAATAGTTAATCTATTCTTCAGGTTCCGTGAATATTCCATTAAGCCTTACACAACAGTCCCGGTACCTCATTAGCGCCCTGAGACCGTTTCGCGAACGGCACCGCACAGAGCGCGACTAGCGCGGTACTATTATAGCACCGGAGCACGGCAGGCGACGGTTCAATTACAGTTCGGCGGTCAGTCGAGCTCCACTGGCAGCTATGGTACCCGAACGTCGCCGGTAAAAACTGCATCCGGACGGAGAACGGTAGGCACAGACAATCAGCGGTTCAAAACATACCCAGCCCAGCTAATATCGCATTACGTTCAGGGAAAACTCACACCGCACAAACACAGCCCAGTAGCTATTACCATCCTCTAGAACAGGTCAATCCTACAGCTACACCATGGACTTCTATGGCGTTGAGTCATTTAGCCCAACCACGGTGTAACTAAGAATAGCTGACACTGGATAAGGTTACCAACATATGATACCTTACATTATTTTACGGTTCCACGTATTTAGCCTTGAAAGCGCAACGCAAAATCAAAACATTCCAAAGATAGATCCAGGACAGATAAATCCCGGATCAAATATACCCAGAGCTCAGTATCAAAAACATCCCCAGTTTAGATGAGTTGCGGCCCGCCAGCCCCACCCCGGCCTCCCACACTGTTGGTACTCAGTACTCACATGCGCCGAGCGTTTGGGGCCGTTCCAGCACTGCTGTCCGTTGTTGTACAGCTGCTGCGTGTAGCCGGTCTGTTCGGGTCGCTCCCAGGAGTCCCACTTGCCCAGGGAGGTCTCCACGCCGCCACTGCGCGGCTTCTGGGTGGCCTGAGGGGGTAGAGCGGGGGAGAATTAGAGAGATAAACGTAACTGAACTTAACGTAAAGAGCGATAATATAAGGCACAATCAACGTTACCGAAAACACAAAATGCTTGGACAATTTAGGTAGTAGTCTTAGCTCATTGTGATTTGTGACTAAACACATTTATTCAACATTATGTTCAGAAGCAGATAAGACACTCGACTTCTCGACACACGGTGCACGATGACCGATCAGAGACAAGTCTTCACTACTATTTCAAGCGACAGCAGTTTTATTGATGAGTCCTAGCGCGATCGCTCCAGTCTCCTCACCTTATCGAACACGCAGAGTTTATACTCGTACTCGCGATTCTCGAGCGTGAAGCACTGCTGGTAGAGCGCGGCGAACGCTTTCTCGGGGCCCAGGTCCAGCCCGGTGAACGATTCCACACCGCCCACCTCCCGTTCAATGTCACGGAGTTTCTGCTCGGCCTCCTGTAGCTCAGCGCGAGCCTGCTTAGCCGCTGTGAACGAGAGGGAAAAGAAGGGATTAGAGATTGCTCGTGCATCACTCCAGCAGGTATATTTTGTGCAATAGCAGCTGAACACGGTACGATTTAGGAGAAATGGTATTCTTTTATGATCTCGCACCTTATAGAAAGGACCGGTGTGAGCCCAACCATGACGAGACGCAGCACGTGAGATATTATCGTCTCCACGTTCTTATAACATCACTTTCCTGTTCTCTGAGCACAAATGGCGTGCTTTACTAATAATTCTCCGTGAAAAGGGATATTATGATAGTGAGCACTGAGCCTCATGTGGTGCTTATCCAGTCTCTCCTTACAGTCTAACAGTTCCGCATCATATCACAATACGCTTCTCTCTCAGGTCAACAGCCAAAAAAAGTCCCGATTGTTTTCGTCCGAGCCAAACATCGTGCTCGTTTCCTTTCAGTTATTATTTTTTTTTTTACAAACGACGGTAAATCTGACAACCGGATCCCACGTGACCGATAGAACCAATGTTACGGCGTCATTCAACGATTATAAAAACACACAACAGACGTCACAAGCTGGGGATTGAGAAAGCCAACGTCATAAGCCACATGATAACCGATATGGAGCGTGACAAAAACATTTAGAGGGGAAAGCCTCAGAGGGATAATAATATGCTTTTCGTTGCATTATTACACACGAATACACGGCTGATGGGAGGTTGCAAATAATCGACGGATGCTTCGACTTTGTACGACTACTTTGTACTACTTTCTTTACTTTGTTTGATTTTGTACGACTTCTTAACTGAAAATTCTTGCTTTCTTACTCGTGACAGAGCCTTTTATGTAAAAATATCGAGACCTCTGATTTAATTACCAACAACTAATAATTTTCTTTTCGAACGACCACCCATCCGAACCACCGGCCGCGCCACCTACCGTCCACGGCCGCCTGGGTCTCGGCGTCGTACTCTGGCTCGTCTCCGGTCGTCTCCGGAACGCTGTGTCGCCGCCGGTAGTGCTCGGCCGCGTCAAATTCCTCCTCTTCATCGTCTTCTTCCTCTTCGTCATCGGAGTCGTAGGAGGGAGGCTCGTACGAGTCCTCAACCAGCTGTAAAGGGGAGAGAGGCGGTCAGAGCCAGAAAGAGCAGATGGAGAGGGACAGTAGCCGGTCAGAAGCGGGATCGCGGGAACAAGTAGCAGCGTAAAACAAGAACTAAACAAAGGCGGGAGTGGAGAGGAGGGGCGTAGTTCTCGAGCAATGAGGCTGGGAGGAAAGGTAAGTCAAAGAAGGGTCAGGCGTGCAGGTGGGTCATGAGGATCGTTAATAACCCGGAAAAGCGATGGGGGGGGGGAGGTACAAACCGAACAGCCGTATCACACCGGTTCGTCACGCATCGTTCGAAAACATCACGCATCGTTCGTCCGCCTAGGAAAGTGTCCATCAACTAAAAGAGACACGATGCCCCCAGCCCGCCGTAACTGTGTCTCTTATCCTTTCTAGTGACCAGCAGTCTTCACCTCATCCCTGTCGAGCTCCTGCACCGTTCCCGCCCCCGGAGTGACCAGGTCGCCTGCGTCCACCTCTCCGGCCGCTAGCTCCTCCTCTGTCAGCTCCTCCCCCTCTGCCACCTCCTGCTGCTGCTGGTCGGGGGCCGCGGCGGGCGCGACGGTCGGCTGACCGCCCTCCTCCGGCACGTGAAGAGGGTGGAAGAACGGCTTCAGCAGCGGCCAGGTGCTCACCACAAACTCCTCCATCTCCAGCTAAGGCAGAATGCAGGGGAGGGCAGACAAGTCAGTTGTGTGCTCAGTAGGGAAGGGCTTGTTTCGAGTCACAAGTATGAAAGAGGAGAGTGAGCAAAAAAATTGAAATGCTGGTAGTGTAATAGAGAACACCGTTAGACGTGCCGCATGTTTTATCTTTACCGCGACGCCAGCAGCGACACTAATAAAAAAGAAGACAAAAGTAGGTATCATTCAACTGAAGGCTGCATGTGCGGTGTATATTCATGCGTTACCTACCTCGTCCTTGTTCATGGTGATGGAGTCGACCTCGTCCTTGGATACGACGCCGTCAGCGTCCTTGTCCAGCTTGGGCTCCCTCTGCAGCTCCTCAGTAGTCAGCCTGAGGGTAACAAAAGATGAGTGTTCACAGTCGGAGACGTCACCGTGCATATACCGGTCAGCCTGCCTGTATCGAAAGCACGGCAAGACATCACAAAGCAGAATATGTCAGTCCGCAGTACGCACCAGTCATCTTGTGCGTTAAAACACACGAAGATCAAAGCCGCACGGCAGGCAAAAAAAGGACCACCGTCCACCGCCCTACTACTCATCTGCGGGCAAAACACCGTCGGGTCCTCGCACCCCATCATTACCACGTTACCACCGCCATATCATTACGGCTCCACCACTCATTCTCAACCCCGTTTATAGAACGCGCCTTTGGACCGAAGATAAAGCAGAGAATCTCACTTTCCGTCGCTATTCACGGAGTGCTGAGCACTCATTCATATTGTCGATCCCAGCCCATCGCATTGCACTGCCAGGCTCCGCCCCGTTACCACTCACTTTCCGTCGCTGTTGACGTCCAGCCTGGTGAAGGTCTCCTCGGCCAGCTGCCGGTTGGCCTCCTCATGCTCCTGCTCTTGCTGACGCCGCTGCTCGTGCCACGCGTCCAGGAGCAGCCGCTCCTGAGCCTCCGCCTCGTTCTTGGCCGTCTCGCGAGCGTTCTTCATCTCCTCGGCGACCTCCTTCTCACGGTTTAGCTCCGCTAGACGGACCTGGCAGAGAAAGGTTACAGGTTAGAGCATGTTCTCACGTTTTAGCTTTGCAAGGTGCATATGAGAAAAAGAAATGAGCCTGGTAGAGCATGGCTAGAGCCTAGAGGCTAGAGGTAAAATCATCTACAGGTCAACTACGCAAAACACAACGCGGCTGGCCACGAGACTATGATTAGTGAGCGTCTGGGGAGGTTGTAGAGGCCCACAGACACCATGGACACTCTTCTCTGTAGCGTAAAACCACACATAAAAAGTAACCACCCTGTCGTGCCATACTATATCAAGCTCTCACCCCGTCCTCAGTCCGACCGTCACCTGTTTCTCGGCCAGTTTCTCCTTGCCCTCCTCTATCAGCTTCAGCTTGACCTCGTAGCCGCGCAGGCGCATCTCGTCGATCTGCTGCTGGCGCGCGCGCGCCGCCGCGCCAATCTCGTCGCACGTGTTGGGACAGGCGCCGCTGGCGTACTCGTCAGAGCCGTCACAACAGTCTGAGGATGCATTGCACACAGTCATAATATGTCATACACTCAGCTGGCACCTCCTTGCAGCATATGCAACTTGATTACTGTGTCCAAGGACTGCTTAATAATCCAAGGCAGCGGTGAAATACCCTGACTGAGGTCCACACAACAGTGCAGAAGTTAATCTTAGCTCTGTGGGTGTAGCCAGGAAATGAACCAAATGCGCCACCACAGGCAGGACAGAAGCCGATACTTACCGCAGACGCCGTCGTTGACCCAGGCGGAGGGCACCTCTGCGGCGGCGTGGCCGCGGTTGGCGCAGTAGAACGAGCCCAGCGCGCAGGCCGACGTGCCCGGCTCGTCACTACCGTCCTCGCAGTCGCAGTAGTCGTCATTGACGTACTGGAACTGGATGGTGGCCGAGCCGTCCAAACAGGTGAACGTGTCGCCCGCCTGGTACAGACTGGCCTTGGCCATGGAGACGCCGCGGGGCAGCGCCAGGTCGGCCCCCACGCCGGCCGCCAGACCAGCGAGGGCCAGCAGTAGCGCCGACAGCGTCCGGTGGGCCATCATAGCTGCAGGGGGACACAACACAGAGATGGCATGAGACAAATGGAGGCTAGATGTGGCAGGGCTGCACTGCTGTTAAGCCATCATCACTGAGGAGGGTAGGCTACCCTTTGCCCATCTGCCAACTATTTGTGATGGTTTGGTAAATGATGATGGGATTGCTCTGAAATCTCCTGTAGTTTCTTTCATATTAATTTGCCAATGGCTGATTTTTTTTATGGAACCTGCCAACCTAATTTGGTTTAGAAGTGGCCTACTTTGTGAGGTCACCAAGGCCAATTTCCACCAAAAAGTTGCTAAAACTCGACTCTGGCCAATGAGTTTACTTATACAACTTTACAATTAAAACCTACTGATGAATTATAAAGTGTCACACAATAGGTACCTCAGATATAAAAGTACGTTTTTGACAATTGAATTAAAAAATGAAAAAGTGAACAAAAACAAATTTTCAAGATATTATGCATGAAATATAATACGGACGTGAGAGTTATGACTGGTCAAGCATTGTACTGAGTTACAACTAAGTCCAAATTTGACCCCAAAATTAATCTCTTAAGAGACTTCTATGTTAGAAATTTGACCTAAAAAATCTCAACACCAGGAACCTTTTTGACCTCATTAACAGTAAAAATACCTGAGTTTAATTTGTCACTAACAGAATAGCTACATCAATCCTGTCAGTAGTTATCAGTCCTGATCTAAGCTTGGTCCTCTTTAATCACAATTATGTTAAACTCAAAATATGAATATCTCAATGCTGCCTTTCATCTAGCTTTGTTACCTACCTATGTCATCAGATTTGAATGAGACTAGGTAGTATCCGTGTGAAGGTGCCAGCATTTGATGGTTGATGGCTGATGCCTAGCCCTAAACCCATTTTAGTGCAGGAATGTCACCAATCTTATCCATAAATAGGAATAGGTCTTAGGAATGTTTGCATCCATATTTGAGAACACAGTTAATCCCATATTTGAGGATGCTTGACCTACCATAGAATTTGATCAAGACTCTTAAAATTCACTTGCACAAATCATGTGACAAATAGCCTGTGCCCTGTGGAAGGCAGCAAGGGAGAAAAAATTTTGAACAGTCATGCAACTAAATTATATCACCTCTGGCACGTTTTCAGATTCCACCCGTTATTGCCTTGTTCAGCTTTCCTGACCAAAGATGGCAATATGCTTTGAGGCCTGTTTCAGCGTGAAATATTATGGAATATTATTCCATGATGCATGCGCAGTAGGCATCAGTGGGTGGAGCAAGCTGCAAGGGGCGGAGCTTCTAACGTATGACGTCATGGCAAAATATTCTGCCGCAGAATGGCATAACAGATTTTTGTAATGCCGATGGTTTTGCTATCAATGTAGCGCACCAAATGATTGAATTGTGGCGTGTTTCTTTCTTGCGGGGATGTATTGGGAGGTGTAATAGCATAAATTGGTGAGTTAGATACTAGCCTACATAATATTTGAGAAACACAAAGTACAAACATGTTATTTTTTATTGGCTTTCATGTGAAATCGTTTCACACTGATGAAAGGTGATCAGCGCATTTTGCTGGCCGGCAGAGTATTCTGTCACAAAGTTTCACAAAATATTACGCCGTCCGAGGTCTACAACGTCACCAGATGTGTTGTCAGTTGTCACACTCGACAGAATATTCTGCCAGGGCTGAAACAGGCCTCTGACAAAAGTTTAGGAAATTACAGTCCTATATCCCTTGGAATTTCAGGTCATCACGTTCCCAGTTTTGAGACATTCTAAAGAAGAAAAAAACTTTCAGCGACCCGCAGCACCGGGAGCATCCTAATCGCTAAGCAATACAGAAAGGTTACCACAAGTTCAGCTAATATGACAAACTGTCTCCAGCTTCTAAAATCAAATCGAAGCTTCACAATAATATACTTACCAAGTAATTCACGAATTTATCAACCCAAACCGATAATAATTTCGCCAAAACTGATCCACCTCAACCTAGAGCGGGTTCCAAATTGCCAACCGGTCTTCCTAAATAAATAAGCTGTTCGATACAACTGAAATGCTGCCCTGCTGATCGATAATGGTTCGTCGGTTGCCTAGCAACAAAGCAGACAGCAACCACAATATTCCTGAATTTATCATCAGTTGCCTGGCAACCCGTCGTAGTGAATCTTTTTAGAACACAATACCGTCTTTTGCAAATAACGCAGGGAAGACAATATGTGACGCACATGTCAAGTATGAACTACTAAATTAACAACGTCGGCCGCATGTAACAAATATGAGCAACATAATTATTATAAAAAGGGATTTACACACAAAAGAGGAACTATGTGTTCACCTTGAACGTCCAATCACTTTTTTTAGTGCACTGGTGACAACAGTCAAGAGGAGAGGTGGAAAAACAAGAAGAAGTGGATGACAAGGGAAGTACTGCATCTAATCGAGAAGAAAGAAACAGCATGGAAAAAGTATAGGAAGAAAAGGACTCAGAAGGCAATGCATTCATACAAACGAGCAAGAAACCTGGTGACAACAGCGGTGCGAAGGGCCAAGTACGAGTTTGAGCACAAACTAGCCAAAGAGGTGCGGGAGAACCCAAGAGCCTTCTACGCCTATGCCAGAAGTCAGACATGTATCAAAGAGGACATCACATATGTTAAGAAGACAAATGGAGAAATGACCAGGACCTTGACCGAGACGTGCGAGGTAATGAACAGAGAATTTGAGAAGATGTTCACCAGGGTGACAGATTGCAGAACTCCCAATGTGACAGGCCCTACTCGTCCCAGTTTGGAGCACATCGAACTGACAGTTGGTGAAGTTGAGGGTGCTTTGGCAGCTCTCAAGACGTCATCTTCTCCTGGTCCGGACGGCGTTCACCCGATGGTCCTTAAGGAATGTGCCAGAGTTCTTTGTAAACCCCTACATCTGCTGTTCATGAAGTCGCTCAGTTCTGGGGTGGTCCCGGAAGACTGGAGGAGGGCAAACATTACCCCGATATTCAAAAAAGGAAGCAAGACAGATCCCACAAACTATCGTCCCATCAGTTTAACTTCAGTGGTTTGCAAACTACTGGAGAGACTGATACAGAAAAGGATAATCGAGCACCTGGAACTGAACAACTTTATCTCTAGTCACCAACACGGATTCAGACGTGGAATGTCCTGTCTTACCCAGCTTCTGGAATATTTTGCAGATGTAGAGGATATCTTGGACGAAGGGCACTGTGCTGACGTCATCTACCTAGACTGTAAGAAGGCGTTCGATACGGTCCCGCATGCTCACTTGTTGGTGAAGGTGGAAGGTGCAGGAATAGTGGGAGGAGTAAAGAGGTGGATAGCCAATTTCCTAGAGAATCGTGAGCAGAGAGTTGTGATACACGACTCCTACTCGACCTGGAGAAGAGTTTGGAGCGGCGTTCCGCAAGGAAGTGTCCTCGGGCCCACGCTATTCCTAATTTATATTAACGACATTCTTGATGGTCTTAACTCTAAAGGGAAACTATTCGCAGATGATGCCAAGATCTACAGCAGAATCAGGAACCAGGATGATAGCAAACTCGTGCAGGAGGATCTGAACACAATCAACGACTGGAGCAACAAATGGCTACTGAAATTCAATGAGAACAAATGTAAAGTGATGCATGTCGGCAACAAGAATCCGTCCAGCCCATATACACTAGGGGACAGTGCCCTCCAGATAACCTGCAGGGAGAAGGATCTGGGTGTCCTGGTGCGGAACGACATGAAGGTGGCAGACCAGGTGGCAGCAGCAGCCACTGCAGCGAACTCGATGCTTGGACGAATTCGCAGGGCATTCACCTGTCTCGATAAGGATACCCTTCCAGCACTGTACAAGGCCCTGGTCCGACCCAAGCTGGAATTTGCTGTGCAAGCCTGGTCCCCCCAACTAAGGAAGGACATCAACAAGCTCGAAAGAGTACAGAGGAGAGCCACAAAGATGATACCTGACTTGTCTCACCTACCATACGAGGAAAGACTAAGAAAACTGGATCTGACGACATTGGAGGAGAGGAGAGCAAGAGGCGATATGATACAAGTGTTCAAAATCCTCAAAGGCTTCGACAAAGTAGATGAGCATCTTCTCGTACTCGACCCTGGAGTCAACGATCCAAGAACGCGAGGACACAAACTCAAGCTGAAGAAATTGCGTCATCGTACCAAGAAAAGGCTGATGTTCTTCTCTGCGCGAGTCACGAGCACTTGGAACTCCCTACCGAACAGCGTGATACAAAGCAAGACGATATCAACATTCAAGACACGCTATGACCAACACATGACTGAGAGGAGGCAGCATCCTAACGAGCCATCCTAGCTCTCTTGCCTCTTCCTATACTTCTAGGTGAGCACTTCTAGGTGAGCACTGCTTTTCTGCAGTGCATTTCTGCACAAGCACAACCACGAAGGATCCGCCCTGTATCATTCCGCGCTGAACGTGTGTGTTCCCTTCGTCTGTACCATGGACAGTGGACACAAAGCTCTCTTTTCATGCCTCGTTCTGTAACGAGAATGACCGTTTGTCACATCATTCCATACATTAACACAGTTATACTACGTTCGTTCTCCGCATCCATTCAAACATATAGCGCGTGAAATTCATACCATTTCCCTCCTCCGTTAGTCTCGCGGTTCGAAGTCCCCGTTGCACGGACTACAGGATAAGCTAGCTCAGTCCTCAGAAACAATCAGCTAGGTTTTGATGATTTATTTCGCACAAATATATTATGCACATCTGAAGCATCTGTCACAAAAGCCACCCGAGCAGTTGCATGAGCGGCCGGAGAGGCGCGATAGAGCCCGAGAGGTCACCGGACTGATAGCGACGCGCGCTACATGTTGCACTACCGCGACTCCGCGCGCCGCTTTGGCAAGGAGCTGAGCTGGACTTCCTACCGAAGACGGAACTCTACCGACCGTCTCCTCCCGGCAGACTGCCAGAGAGGTCGGGAGGGGAAACTGAGAGACATCCGCTCGTCAGGGAGAAGGTACTCGTTGAATATGACACAGCGCCTTAGCGCACGATCCATCAATCTGTCGCGCCTTCCACGTCTGCAACGCTAGCAGTCGCATCTCTGTTCACTTGTCCACCCTCGACCAAATCACATTGACAACATCGTCCGACAACGGCAGACAGGTGCGTCACAGATCATGGCTAGCTCGCCCGGCGGGCCTACCATCGTCACACTTGGAATGTTTACAGATCTTCTTGGAAGATTCGCCTAAAGAGAGCATCGTAACTAGAAGAGAAACACTGAACCTCCGCAGCGGCAGGCACAATGAGAACATCGCGCGGACACGGCGGAACACAGCTGTAACACCGGCAGAACACAGCTGCTAACACCGACGGAACACAGCTGATAACACCAGCGAAACAGCTGGTTGATAGCACAGGCGAGCCCAGCAGCGACTGCTGCAACATTGGCATAACGCAACTGCTAACACAGCTGCTAAGTGCTAACACTGGCATAACACAGCTGCAGCTGAGAACACCAGCCTAACACAGTTGCAGCTGCGAACACCGACCCAACACAGTTGCTGAAAACACTGCTAACGCCGCGCCGGCCAACATGTAGCTGACAATCAGCGATCCAGTTACTGCCATCGCTACAAATGGAGAATCGCGAAAAACGCCCAGAGAATGGCTTTTGCTACTAATATGCTTCACTTAATATCACAATCAACTATTTCGATTTTTTTGCAACATTTTGAGACAGTGTATTTGGCAGTAAGAGGTGTTGGTGCACCCGATAAATCCCCTATTCTCCACCGACAAACACCGAACAAACACAGCAGCTGCTGATAACACCTGGCGACAAACAGAGCGCCGACAAACAGTACGTAGCACGTCACAACCAGAGCGCCGACAACAACCTTCCCAACGCTACCACCGAGCACAGAGCACTTCAAGCAGCTGCACAGTGAGCTCCGAGTTCCGACCGACACCGAACGAAGAACGGTGCAGCGCCGGGCGATGGAGCGACGACCCCGGGCGGTGCACAACTTTCTCGGGAGATCCAGCCAGTCAGCCGAGGACTCCACTGACCGGCTGACTGATATTTAGATAATATGACAATTCATTCAGCGATTTAGGCCGTCTGAAGGGTAAGTGTGACATGGGACCGAGATTCGATGGACAATGGGGCGGAGTACGTTTGAAAAGTGCAGCTGAGTACGGGTGTCAGAAAGCTTCCAACGGTTCAACGCATCCCCCGTTTCCATACAGCCGGTGACGACAACAGCAGCGGCTTACAACACTACCCGAGATCTCCTCGATGTTCGCCCACCGCGCCGAGCGGCAACGGGCGAACACAGCGTGGGACCACACCGCCACACTGAATACCGGCCGCCGGTGGGACGGCAGCGCCCAGAGCACGCGCAGACACTGAGTGACACTGCGGTCAGCCGCGCGGCTGGGGACTCCCCGATGTCCGCCGCAACAGACAGCAACAACGATCACAGAGCATACCAACAACAAAATGTCCAACACCGCGACAATGCAGCCCATCCGTGAAAGCAAAATACAGGAATAAATCGTTACATTGAAGCACCTGAACGTGAGCTATATGTAAAAATCACGTAAACATAAATAATACGCATCATGCACTGATATATCCAGAGCAAATAAGCTCAATTACAGTTTGGCACTGTCAAAGTAAACGCATCGGACCCACCGGTGCTCCCTTACATAAGCTCCTCGTAAGACTAGATATCAAATATAGCGTCAGCGTATTACAACACCCCTTGTGTGAGTGGGGTTCGAAGATAACTGGCACAAATAAATACTAATCAAGCCAGTTCCATCATCCCAATAGCCACGTGACTTGGCAAACGTTGATATATGACGCAGAAAGCAGCACGTAACATTAACAGCCCTGACAATAATCCCAATAGTCGCATTGTTCTTATCAGTAATCAGTCCATCGTGGCAATTCCTTAACTGCCTCAACCGCCTCGTAGTTCCTGTGCTCTACACACCATCACGATAATGCAACGCACGTTGCTAAATAAATTGAGCTACTCCACAATGAAAGCCTGGCGACCCGTAGGAGCCGCCTCTGCCACATGTTTTAAAATCGGCCCCATGAATACACGACAGGAATACAGCTACTCTAGTCTAGACACAGTCTGCGCCGCGGCTTTGAGCAAAGCAGCCCGGCACACCCGCCTGGCCCAGTATCGGCCGGAAAGCTCGCACATCAAGCTCGCACAGTTATCACTAGCCCGGCCGCCGTCGGGACTATCCGGCCTGTGACGGCGCGAGTTCGCCATGTTTGAGACTCGTCCCTGCCTTTTTGACTACCTGGACTGGAGCGCCTACTTACGGGACTGAACCTCTACCCTTCCAGCCCCACATGTCACAACTTTACTGCTGTTGATTGATTGAGAGAGCCGTGGTCAATCTTCAAATATCTGGAGTCGTCCGATGACTAATCAGTTACGGACCAGGAGACCACGGTGGTTTTTATAGACTGGCGTGAGCCAGATGGCCTGCCAAAGGACCAGGGAGGATCCCACAGCCCGGGGAGGACCATCTCAGACTGATAGGGACCATTCCGGAGTACCCAGCTCAGTGCTGCAGGCTCGGGGAGCTGGCTAGCGGCGTCGAGCTGTTGTGGTCCGCCATCACTCCGTTAATGAGCGCGGCAGCCTCCAGGGAAGCCGTGCCGGACGACTGGCCGGCCGGCGGCGGCTCCTGGAGACATACACGCACGTCACACACATGTAGGGGGAAAGGCGACAGACTCGAGGGAAACATCTATACAAAATATTGTTCCAGGAAAGGCTAGAAAACATTCGACAGCCAGCCCGGTCAACAACGAAATGACGGTAACTTGTGTATAACAACCTTAAGCCAATCACTTGTAACAGGCATGCATTAAAAAATACAGCGTATTTAGACACCAAGCCGACATGCTGTTTCCAATCCAAGCATATCCCGTGCTCTCGATCATGGCTATGCTTGAATCATTTACCCCTCGATTTGATCGATCAGTTACCCCGTCCACCATCCTGGCCTACAGCTAGTCTTTTCGTTCAAGACCTACATTGTCTCCTCACCTGGGACCTGTCGTACTTGGCCTTCCTCCACGAGAAGCGTTTCTCGCTGCTGAAGTCAGACGCCGACGAGTTGTACGTGGGGTTGCTGAAGGTCAGGGTGGCCTCTCGGTCCGGGGCGCGCTGCGCCATCCGTGAGCGTCTGAAGAGCACGGCCAGCAGTACGGCGAGCAGCAGCAGCAGCAGCCCGCCGGCGGCCAGCAGCGCCGTGCTGACCCCGCTCAGACCGGCGGCGGTGCTCGGCTGACTCTGCGGGGTGGGGGACGGAAGGGGTCAACAGTATAGTTTGTGGCGTGATAAAGAAAGGGACAATGCCGCGTGAATTACGCCGCAGAATCAAAAGGTGGGATAGAGATCAGATGACCACATTGCCCGGGGGCGGACTGGCCAGCGTCAATAAATGTAGCACTTAGCCGAGCTTTTCGCATTTGGAGGACAGTAGCAACTTAACTTGAGTTTGATAGGAAATATACGTGAAGACGAGCCATCTGGTTAATCGGACAGACGTCAGAACTATTCTTTTAAAAAAGTTAACGATAAAGGCATAAACAATAAGTATGATGCAGGCCTCACCTGATAGCGTGGTGTGGTGAGACAGAGACAGAGTATCTCATCGAATAGCTTTCAGTGTTGAGTCAGACTCACCTGATAGTGCGGCGTGGTGTCGCACGCCCGACCGTCCGGAGTGTCCGGGCAGGCGCACACCAGGCTCCCTCCGCCGCGGTACAGACACAGGTGCGAGCAGCCACCGTTCTCCTGGGCACAGGGAGTGGAGCCGGCCGGTCGACCAGTAGACACGGCCACCACGTCCATTATACGCTCCAGCTCTGTAAAGGGGGGGGGGGGGTCAGATCAGAGCTCAGACAAGAAGAGGAAGTCGGACCAGGGTACGGCCCAGCTCCACCACAGAGAAAGGACAAGAATACATCGGGCTCTAACTCAGCACTGTAGGGCACAATTATCTGAACTAACGCCAATATGACGTGTTTGGTCACAGGCTTCATATGCGGCTAGAAATCATTGGTGTTCCCATGACGGCAAACAAGAAACATTTACGGCTTTGCGCATAAAAGGTGACTAACACCATCCCCAACACACCATATTATTTTAGTCATGACTCGTCGCGCCATTCCCTCGACTCCGGCCCCGGCGTCGACTCACTGTCCCTGACGGTGCCCCGTTGGCTGCCGTCCACCTTTCCGACCCGTTCCAGACTATGTGTGCCCCAGTCACTCCAGTACAGCCAGTCACCCATCTGGGGATGCATACAGATGGGTGTATCTAGGTGAGGTTGTATAGAGAGAGCGGATGACATTAATGGGTGCCCCAGTCATTCCAGTACAGCCAGGCACCCATCCGTGGACACACACTATACCGTAAACTGTCGATTTATCACTAGTTTTGGGGAAAGATGGCACATTCGTCGTGCCTTTGGTATAATTGCTACAAGGTCTAACAGAGTGACAGAACGAATATTGCATCTGACTTTCGATCGCCGTTCCAAAAAGGAACACTAACGCTAAGGAGTGATTAGAGTGCTAGCTACTGACCAATTTCACTGTGTGATACCGGATGGGCATCCTATACTGACCCCGTGACGCACTACATACTGTCCCAGTGATGCCAAAAGGTGTCTTTATACTCACGACTGTGACGCCGAAGGGGTGTCCGGCGCTGGAGACGAGCACCCGCCGGTTACCGCCGGCCAGGTCGGCAGACTCGAGCGTGTGCAGCTCAGAGTCCGCCCAGTACATCCTGAGGGCGAACGAGGAGAGGGATATGTAGAGTGAGGCGGTTAAATGTTCAGTAGGCACACATCGACCGCTTCAACATCGACCGCTTTAATATCCACGTCGTTATAGAGGACAATTAGTTCCCAACCTCTTATCCAGTCAATGCCCTCCGACTCTTGTCTTCGTTTTCATATCTCTAGTCTCTAGTATACTGTGACCTTCCGTATGAGCTGTCACGCTCCCAAGCACATACCCCTAGTCCAGCCTAACCTGTCACTTCCGACTGTCCCCCATACATAGGGTGTGTTCCAGTCGCACTTTCTAACGCCTCTAAACTCCTCCAAGATTGCTTCCCTGTTCCAGTGGCAGATCTAGCCCCTACAAAGCCAAGGAGGGCCCTGCTCCAACCTCCTCTAGCTTGCTCTTGGAGGAGTTTAGAGGTGTTAGGAAGTGCGACTGGACTGGAACAGACCCATAATCAGCGCATTCGACCGCACACAATGTATTAACCAGCAGTCCGACCCTATCACAACACCTCCCCAATGCCGTGACCTCCCGACTGATCTGTCTCCCCCCCCCCCCCCCAGTGACCCCGACTGACCTGTCTCCCCCAGTGACCCCGACTGACCTATCTCCCTCCAGCGCCAGTCCGGTGGGCGCCGACAGCCTCTCGGTGACCCCGACTGACCTGTCGTGTCCCCCCTGTCCCCCAATGTGACCTCCCGACTGATCTGTCTCCCCCAGTGACCCCGACTGACCTGTCTCCCTCCAGCGCCAGTCCGGTGGGCGCCGACAGCCGCTCGGTGACCCCGACTGACCTGTCGTGTCTCCCCTCTCCCCCAATATGACCGCGACTGACCTGTCTCCCTCCAGCGCTAGTCCGGTGGGCGCCGACAGACGCTCGGTGACCAGCCGGCGCCTCTCAGATCCATCCAGTCTGGCCGACTCTATACGGGGCGGTCCCTGCTGCTCGACCCAGACCAGCAGGCCAGCCGGGGGCCACACCGCCACGGCGCCGGGCCGGGAGAGGCCGTCAGCGATCAGCCGCCGCCGGCAGCAGCCGCTCAGCGCCACCACAGACACGCTCGGGCCACGCGCCTCCGTGAAGAACACCAGCCGAGCCGACCGGTCGACGGCCACCCCCTCGGGCCACACGTCGGCCGACTCCAGTACGGTGCGAGGAGGAGTGGTGGCCGGTGTGCGGATGTCCACCACCCTGTGGAAGGGAGGAGGTGTCAAAGTAGGTTAAACAGAATGCAACGGACCATGGCAGATAGGCTGATGTAGCAGAAAGGCGTCATCAATACAGTAAATGAAAGCAGGGCACACAGCAAGTTGTCGGAAACTTTAAGCTGATGTCTCCCGTTAACGATTGTTACAATATGACGTCCGTTCGTATAGGTAGCTAACAGATATGACTTGTAATGCGAGCCTGACACCAATCGCAGGCCATCCATGTCAGGGCAAGTACAGAGCGCCGAAGCGACACGAACCAGGCTCTCGCCACACGCCGATTAAGCGGTTAGATAATCTCGCAACATCGAAACTTCTGGACCTACTAGCCTGGATCAGTACAAAAATATTACCCAATGGCGCCAAATTTTTCCATCAACAGTCATCAAGAAGGAAATTGGTAACAACTCTGCTCCAACGAACAACGAGGTCGAGCTACCCCAAAACAGAGTAATTAGCGCTCCGTCTGTAATCGGCTTCTCACCACTCCCAACAAACCGATCAGTCTCCAGTAACCACTGGTGGGTGCTGATCGCTCGTTTATCATGGCCCTCGCCCGGGTCGGCCGGCGTGCGGTGGACAGCCGCCACTGTGCGTGGTCCACCAGACACCCACACCCGGCCCGGCCGCCGCTGCCAACCCCACCGGGCCGGCCGGTATAAGGGTGACGGGGAGCCGGCGACAGGCACACAGCAGCGAGAGCAGAGCAAGGCAGGCCACCGTCGGCAGCTGAACGGACTCAGTGGAACAGGTGAGGGTACGGTCATCTACGGCACTGAGATCTCTAACGGGAAGAGGGACGGCTCTTGGTTTTATCGAAATTCTAAAAAAAGCTTTCACGGGAAATTTTGAGTAACTTACTTTGACGGAAAAACTTATTACTAACAATCTACAAAGAAAGAGAACTCTTGTGAGTGCAAGTCTCGAGTATACCGAGACTCGAGAGCAATTAGTCTCATATGAGGCAAACTAAAAAAAATATGTTGTTCTTTTCGGTCCCTGGTGATCTGACCATCCTTCTTCGTATCCTCAGGAGCCAGCACCGACAACAGTCAGCCATGGAGCACCCCACACTGAGTGTGACGGCGGCGGCGGCGGCCGTCTGGCTCTGCCTGATCTCTACTGTCAGCGGGAGTCCCATATCGCTCCGAGCCGCTGCCGCCGGCCGGCAGAGCTGTCCTGACTGCCACTGGCCGTCACCAGTGGTGATGGTGCCGTCAGAGTCACAGGTGGTGCCCGTGAGGCCACCAATGGTACCAGCGGGATCGCTGGTGGTGTCAGCGGCTTCATCGCTGTCACCAGCGGGATCAGCCATCAAGCGAGACGCCGACCAACCAAGCTATACCCGGCACCATACCCGCTTCCAGAGCCGGCCCTACGTCGAGTGCCGGCCGTCTCGCAGTCAGGTGCTGCAGTTCCTGCGAGCGCTGCACCTGGCGCGCACCGGACGCACCAATCAGCGAGCGAGCCTCTGCGGCGGCAGCCAATCAGTGGCCAGAGTCGACACCGTCCGCTTCGTGGGCTGAACAGCATGGGAAGGCGCCCATAAGCTATAAGCTAAGCCAAGATGCATCGAATGGAGCTAAAGTCTGCGGAGCAAAGGCAAAGATGACCAAATAAAGACAGCGTAATGCAACTGCAATGCACATGGACTGCAGGCATCTGCCATTTGTCCTGATGTCACGTAAAATATATATTTTGTAGTAACCCTGCCATCGGAAGCTCAATGAAAAGGTGACGACCTCTTGAGCCAGCTAAGGTTGTTACTCGTTGTATCGCAAAGGCCAAGACAAATATTTCAAAGGTCGGTCAGCGGTTGTGCCACTCGTTACTTATTTCGGACGTGGATGGCCTGCAGTTAGTGGCAGGGATCGCATAACAGGCTGCGTGGAGTCGCCGAGCGAAGCTCCGGCCGGCTATGAAGACACGTTTAAAAATCGACTATAAGTTCTAATAGGTACCCAGAATCCCCTCATTGAGCGACAGAAGGAACGGCTGCCCAAAAAGGTCTGATGTCAGTGGGCTCATGGTCTCTAAAACCACGCATTTCGAAGACTCAAGACTGAACTTTACAAATAAGGAAACCACTCGGCATTATGACTGTAACAGAAGTGCCTTGAGTCGTTCGAGCTCTTTTTTAAACTCACTCAGTCCACATCATTCTCCTACTGACCTGGCTCGGCCGCATTTCTTCTATATCCGGCCAAGCCCGCCTCCTCACCTTCTCAATATGATCTGGGTCCGATACGAGCCCTCAGAGACCATATCGGTTCTCCTTTACCTAATCCCACATGTTCCGCCAGCTGAGCTGCTATGAGAAACCACATTCGGTCCATCTGAGTTCCACCTGTCAGCTTGAATACCCTCCCAGACCTCCCCAATCTTAACTAATCCAGCATGGGGAGCCCAGTCCCATTCCCAGTCCTCACCTGATCTGGTTCAGTCGGCGGTCCGAGTACACGACGGCGTTCTCCTCGGCCACAAAGTCCAGGTGGGCGGCGTTGTAGACGTCCGTCACCGGCAACGTCACGTCCCATGGCTGGCTTACGTCCAGAGAAACACGCGCCACGCTGCAGGAGGGGAGAGAAATGTTACAGACAATTCGGAGATGCAGGGGCTCTGGATGAAGGACAGCAAGTTGACTATTGGTAAGAGACACATTGCAGAGGTGGTCCGAACACAAGACACAATAATCTTACAATCAATTTTACAGCGCTAAATTGTATTGGATCACCATACAGATAGCTACTTACCGTCTTTTCCGACTGTCGCCTTATTAACTACCCAAACGAAGCTGGCCAAGACTCTCGCTCTCAGTTTGGCACGATCCCTGATCTCAGTCTTGCTGACGTGCAAGGCAGGTATCCCGTAGCCACCCCTGCCTGTTCATAGCAGTCAGGGAGAGTGTCTCTCGCCCTTCCCTATTCAGTGTCAGGCAGAGCGCCTCTTCTCCTCACCCTTTGACAGTCATGTACAGACCGTCTCAATTCTCTCCCTCACCTATTGAGTGTCAGGTAGAGCAGCATTCTGGCCGGCCGGTCGGGGCAGCTGGCACCGGCGTCGGTCGGCTGTGGCACCAGTCCCGTACCGCACACACAGCTCCGGCCCGTGGGGATGCGCAGGCAGAGGCCCGAGCAGCCGCCGTTGTCACCGCCGCCACACACATAGCGCAACATGGCCGCGTCACGCTGCCAACGAGCGGGAAGGCATGGCTAAAAGGAAACCCAGTAAACGTCTTTTGTTGGATGTCTAAATACGTTTTAAGGAGGACGTTTACTTCGAAACTTTAATGAAATCTTAATATCCTTTTTCCTGAAAGAAGAATGATCTCCACACACGAAATATGAGAGCCAAACAGTACAAGATACTGAGAGACAAGGAACCGATCTCGGATCTACTGCCGCTCGGGTTAGTCTTAGCATATTAAGTCCTTTCTTTCCGAGGAAGCCAAGCAAACTTTCTGCGCTCCCTCCACTGCTACTCTGGCTCTGCTCACGTTCCGCGCCTACCTCCAGCATCATAATGTGTCCCAGGTTAGTGAGTGGCCGGGTGAGGGTCTCGGGTGTCGCTGAGGTGCCTGATATGTCCCGGGCGCGGACGGAGCCGCCGTCAGCACCCTCTGTTGCCGTCTCCTCGGTCCAGTAGAGCCGACCGTGGTGGACGGCCAGTCCGGACGGACGGGAGAGATCTGGGGGAGGTGTCAGAACAGTCAATGGGGAGGGAGCCGGCCGTGGTGGACGGCCAGTCCCGACTGACGGGACAGGTCTGAGGGAAGTCAGAGGGAAACAGTCAATGAGGAGCGGGGTAGATGGGAAGCGTCATGGATATGGTGGACGGCCAGGCCGGACGGACGGGACGGGTTTGAGTCGTCACAGAAGACAGTCAGATCAGCTGAGAATAGAACAACCATAGACAATTGGCATTCTGGAGAGCACAAAGAATCTGAGTCACAAATAATTTCTCAGGACAGTATATGGTGGACACAGAGTAACTAGAGTCAGCCTAGCTACGGACCAAAGGCAGGACCAAGAGTCCGGTGCATCTAAATCAGAAACCTCTAAACGCGTTGAATAGACCAATGCAGCCAGACCAAGCACTAAGCAGAGCGACACTGCGTTCGCTACGGCAGTATGACACCCAACGAGCGGTACCCACCTGAGACCAGTGTAACCCGCTCGGAGCCGTTGAGGGCGGCCGACTCGACGGTGCCCAGCTGGTGGTCGACCCAGAACAGTCGGTCGGAAGAGGCATCCACCACTAGACCGCACGGACGGCCGACGCCCTCCGCCACGACCACAGCGCTGTGGGGAGGGAGAACAAATCTTAGCGCCATGTAAGAGACACCTTAGTAGTCAATTCATAAGTATAAGGTTCACCAGGCTAGCATATGGCGAACCTTAGGTTTTATGGGAGCCTAGACTGTATTGGTCATCGGCGCACACGGTAGCTGGCCGTCTGGAGCCTGTAACACTCTTATCCGTCACGGCTAGCCCGAGCTCGATTGCTCTTCTCCGCTATCCGGAGTAGCATAAGAGTCCACAGGACATTTCACTGCCAGCTCCCATTCCTGCCTGCCACTGACCCCATGCGAGACGCTTGCCTCCCGGGACTTCTGAGTGATAGATTACACAACGCCCAATTGCTCGCCGTTCCCTTCTCGCGCCACTGACCGGTGGGTGCCGTCCATCCATGCGCTCTCGATCTGTTGCGGCCGGCCCCAGTCGGACCAGAACAGCAGGCCGTGCCGATGGGAGAGTGCCAGGCCGCGCGGGCTGCGCAGCCGACTGTGTACCACCAGCTGACGGAGCTGGCCGTCCAGGGAGCACACCTCCACACTGGCGCGCGTCCGGTCCGTCCAGAATATCTGCGGGACAGTATACAGTTAGCAAGAGGATACAGCATAACTGACAGCACACGAGTACACAGCGGCTACAGCGCACGGTAACGCACAACAAGTCCAGACCATGGATTTGCTGACAACACGTCAGCAAAATCCAGCACAAGCAGCACCGTACGACACACGCAGCACACTACGGGCTCAACGGTGGTCAACACATCGTGATGGCATACAGGCGAGTCCTGCTCACATCACACAACAATGTAACCCACAGTCGAGAATCAATAAACGCTGGCGCAGCTCCACCCTGGCCTCTCGGGAGTTGTCCACCCACCTTTCCGCCGATGTCGTCGATGACTATGTCTGCCACGTCACCCAGGTCGTGCGCGACGATGACGTGAGACTTGAGGCCGTCCATCGAGCTGCTGATGATGCGACGTCGGCCGCCACCGGCGTCAGCGTATAGCAGGCGGTCTGACAGAAAAGAGATTGTTAGGCGGTCTCAGAGGAGCGGCAACAACTGGCAAGCAAAATGCGGTCTGAGAAACTAGACGGTGGTTAGTCGCAGTATGTAGGTCTGCAGTCCAATGTCTACGGGTAACATCAAGCATTCACCAGACAAGGCTCTCAATCCTAGTGTGACGCCACTGACTGGACAGTTGCATCTGCTCGCAGGTCTCAGTTCAGTGGAGCACGATGTTGTACAAATGCTTACCTGTGCGCGGGTCCCAGGGTGGTGGATTACCGAAACATACCTGTGCGCGGGTCCCAGGGTGGGGGGTTACCGTAACATACCTGTGCGCGGGTCCCAGGTTGGTGGGTTGCCGTAACATACCTTTGCGCGGGTCCCAGGATGGTGAATTACGGTAACATACCTGTGCGCGGGTCCCAGGCCATGGCGGTGACGTGTGCGGAGCGCGGCAGGGGCAGCACCGTATCCACGGAGGCCGGCTGGGTCAGAGAGAGTCGGCGCACCTCCCAGCCGCGGCTGAACACCAGGCTGAGAGCGGGGCCCGACTGGCAGCTCCAGCCGTCGGACGACATCGGTACGCCTGTGGAATGGAGTAGTGGTATCGCGTTCAGCAAACGTTACATATTGGTACGTAAAGGCGCGGCGTTCAATTGGTGAGATCATTACACGTGTACCTATTGACATCTATGACCACACAATCAAAACAATGCATTAGTCCAGAAGACATATTTACACAGAAAGTACTGGGTTCCCAGGACAAACTAAAACCATCCACTAAACACTAGAACACCAAAGTCGTGACCAAATAGCACTACAGATGCCCAGGGTCCACAGATAACAGTGTTGGAGATCCAGATCGCACGGCATGCAGTGCTCACCGGTGGGACAGCTGCAGACGGGTCCGTTGGGAGTCGGCAGACACAGGTGCGAGCAGCGGCCGTTATCCGTACCGCACGGACCGACCGGGCTCTCCTTGTCACCGGCGCCATGTCCCGCTCCCAGCACCGCCAGAGCCAGCGGCGGGCCCAGCGCCGCCGACAGCGGGGCGGGCGGCGGACCGCCGGCGCTGGCGCTACCGTTCACCACCGTCTCTGCGCCGGCCAAGATCCAGAAGAGGCGTCCAGAGGCCGCGGCCAGCGCCATGGGCCGCCGCTGGCCAGAGTACAGGGTACGGACCGGACCGGCGCCGCCCGACGGCGTCAGACGCGCCGCGCTCACAGTGCCTGGAGGGGAGACGGAGGTCAACGCCGAGACAATTACGGAAACCGCACATTGTGAACACGCAAGCCAACAATAACTCCACTTATTGTTCACCCCCCAAGAAACGACGATCATCGCATAATGATCACAATTCACACAATAGCTCTCCAAAGAAAAGCGAGACAGCACAATATCAAAGCGAGCCATAGTCTATATTCTTATGTATGTTGCTGACATGACATAACGTTCCAAGTTACCAATTACAAGGTTGCTATACTTACAAGGTTCCAAGTTACCAATTACAAGGTTGCCACACAAACTCAACTTCGTGCCGCAAACGATGCCGTACCGAGTTTCTCGTCGCACCAGTAGAGTGTGGTGGCGGTGTCGTCCAGAGCCAGTCCAGTGGGCGCCGCCAGCTGTCCACCGCGCAGCAGGACCGAGCGTCCCGAGCCGTCCATGGCGGATCGCTCGATACGGGCCGAGGAGCCGCCGGTGTCCGACCAGAACATCACTCCGGCTGCAGAACGGGAAACAGGTCACACCAGGTCACATCATCACAAAGAACAAACATAGCAGCATCACAAACAGCGTAAGACAGGAAAGCAGTCAACATTACGACCGGTACGGAACAGCTTCAACAATCTGCAACAGTATATCATATACGAATAAAACCATTAACCACACACTCACAGAATGAAAGGGCTGCTCAGTCTGGGATCACACCATCCGACGGAATAATTAGTCGGGGACCGACTCGACTAGTCAACCGACGAATCCATTCACCGCAGATGGCAAACTGATCAGTCTGGGACTCAGACCAATCGCAGATAACCCTGGCACCGCAAATGGGGACTCAAAATCACCCTTGGACCACCAGCTATCCACTGACCGGTCGGATTGAGCAGCAGCGAGGTGGGGCTGTCGATACCGTCGGCCACCAGCAGTCGCCGGTGTCGGCCGTCAGTCCGGGCCACTTCTAGCCGCCGCAGGCCGGCGTCAGCCCAGTACAGCAGGCCCGACAGCCAGTCCACGGCCAGGCCCGTGATGTTACCTGGAGAACGGGTACGGAGCGGTGAGCAAACGGGATAAACACTACACGAGGAATACAGCGGTCAGCGGACACAGAACAGCGTTCAGGTAGAATACAGCGAGTGCGGATGGCTCAACACCTAAGTCGAGTACAAACTAGAAGGACGTGTCCGCAAACTCGAGCAGTCAGCTGATATGCCTACTGTTACCGATTACCGAGCTTAAGTGACGATAGGTGAAAAATCTAAATGCATGATTCAATTGAGATCCAAATCCGGCATGATACAGGTTCATTCAGACTAATGAGGCATGATGGGCGTCATCAACGAATTGCACCTGGCGATTTAAGTTGTTCCTATCATCTAAAATACGCCTCTACAGCCAGCAGGAACCCCCAGGCATCCCTCCCGAGTCCAGCACCCACCGAGGTTGGCGTCCACCAGACACCGGTGCTGCGATCCGTTCCAGAAGGCGCTCCGCAGACAGCCACCATCCGCGTCCGCCCAGTAGAGCGTGTGTCGGCGGTCGGCGGCGGCCGCCGACGGCCGGCCGGGGCCCAGCAGCGGTACCAGGTGCCACCGGCCGCCGCCCAGCACTGGTGCCACCTGCAGTGTGCCATTGGAGGCCACCAGAAGACCGGTGGCCGGCTCCGACTCGCAGCCAGAGGTGCTGGAGGAAGAGACGGGCTAGGTTAGAGGCAGAGCGGCGAGTGAGGCAATAGTGGATGGGGCAAAGGACGCCGGGCTGTAACCGAGAGCTACCGTTATAGCAGGATCCACCAGCGTAAGGTCACTTCCTACGCGAGTAACACAACATCGTCCACCCGGTCCACCATAGTCCATCGTAGATAGGTACATAGTCAGGTGACCCCCCCCCCCCCCCCCCACCACGATACATATGCAAACGGTGTAGTTATGCAAATGCTCTGCCCTAGCGACAAACTATCTTCGAGTTGCAACACATCTAGGCCCTGACAAACCATAAGTACCACCCCAGTCGTGCCTACCGCGCTGTTCCGCCATCCTGAAGCTCTCACCTTCCAGGTTTCAGCCGCAGGCCGCTGGGACAGGCGCACGTATGACCGTCCGGCCGCGGCAGGCACAGGTGGGAGCAGCCGGCCGCGGGCAGACAGCGACTGCGCGTGCCCGGCTGGCGGAGCGGGTGTACGGCGCGCACATCCATGGGGTGCTCCAGGCCCGTGCGGAGCGCGTGGGCACGGTTCCCTGTTCACAGAACCGGTCAGAGAGGGGGAGGTCAGTTGTCATTTCGATCATAAGCCGCAACTTAGGTGAACGTAAAGAATCATTCAACACATTAGCGAACAAAACGCTAGGGCGCAAAGGCAAACAAAGAAAAAAACTTTGAAAACGCGTGCCTAGATGCTCACGAGAGCATACCTACTAAAAATAAAACTGCGCCCTGGACTTTCCTTTCCGCATAAGCACGTGTCGTTGCTTCCTGAAAGTAGGATGTCTTATCAAAAGTATGACGCCTTGACAGATATTGCTTCGAAATTCCGAAAGCTTAGTACATGCGCCATCATAAAATACAGAGGAATTTAGATTCATTCACAAATGCTTTAGAAATACGCCTGTTGAACATCATTCACACAATACACAATTAATCACGTCAAAACATTGCTACAACATATTTAGACCCAAACGTAGGTTTCAGATATGAAAATCCAGCCACTGAAGTAAACAATATCCTAGCATGGGAAAGGCCATCCATTATCAAAACATGTACTTTGTTGTGGGAATTTCTGACTAATGTGGAACATTCAGCACAAGCATGGCCTGAAAACTGGGTTTCCCCGGTCTCTATATAACCGTACACTGTGGATCGCATGCAACCAAACGCTGGAACGAGCATTCGATCACGTAAATCAAACATAAGACATGAATGGTATGCTGGATTAGTCCGATAGGCCCAGCAGCTATGAAAAACTGGGCATGCGCACACGGCAATCCCACAGCCATCGTCATGCTAGAACACTCGGTCATTGCATGCGTCGATAACAAAATGGGAACGGAGAGTAAAAAATCGTCCAGGGAACTTCGATATTTGGCTGTTTTCCAGTCCACATGAGACATAAGGTAAATCATGCCGTTACAACAGCCACTGCTCCGCCAGCTAATGGGCGGAGTGTACATACACCTAGGGAGAGTGGTCCAGATGCTGGTAGGTAATCTGCGGTAGGCTCTATACTTCATAAACCATTCGGGTTGGAATGCTGGAGACCGAGAGTGAGAGCAGGTGGACCATGCACCAGCAGGCAGTCTATGCGCCGGTCCGAAGGCCATCGCCAGTGTCAGTGGGCTAGGGGCGTGTGCGGCACTTGTACGGGTAGGCAGTACATGCACCAGTGAGGGCTCCGTACGCCTGTGGACGTGGGCGGGGTGAGTACGGGAGAGCGGTACATGCACCAGTGAGGGCTCCGCGCGCCAGTGGACGTGGGCGGGGTGAGTACGGGAGAGCGGTACATGCACCAGTGAGGGCTCCGCGCGCCAGTGGACGTGGGCGGGGCGAGTACGGGAAGGCGGTACATGCACCAGCGAGCGGTCCGTGCGCCGTGTACCGTGTCGTTTGTCGGCCGCGTGCAGCGCGTGCGTCTTCCAGTCGGTCCAGAAGAGAGTGTCCTCGAACACGGTAAGTCCGTACGGGTGGGGCGCGCCGCGACGGACCACCTGTAACCGGCCCCGACGCGACAGGACACGTCACACGTGGGACGGGAGCCATTACACGGGACAAACCAAACCCGAGACACGCGACAAATAGAACCGGACCGTCATAGAGGGACCTCTACAACACGAGAAACTCAGCGCTACAGCTTATAGGCGCACCATCGCAAGCTGAGTATTACGGCTTCAGTAGAGTGACCCAACCCGCCACCAACAAGCACCGGACTGCATCCGTTGTGCAAAAGACAGTCTAGCCGTCACCCAGCTAGTATCCAAAACCCGTGAGGCAGTATCCGTCACCAATTATTAGCCACCAGTCATCAGCAACAGTACTCAGAAACCACCACCACGTCCAGTCAAAAGCAATCGCCGTTATAAGGACTAAGGTGCAGATAGCAACTGGACTGTTGGGTCGGTGGACAAGGGAAATAATGGGCTGTAAAACTGTAAGCGCTGCCACAGAACAGTTCTGTATTGGATGGCTTTATCTATTTGTTGAGCCGGCTTCTCTCATTGCAGCATATTTAATACGGCTTCACATGTATGAGATTTCACCATCTGCCCACGACCCCCCCCCCCCCCCCCGCTGTCTGCGGTTCCCTTCCGTCTGTCTCCACGCCCATTATCTATCTCACGCCTCACCTGCTGCCGGTCGGAGCCGTCCAGCAGGCAGCTGGAGATGCTGTTCAGTTTGGCGTCGTTCCAGTAGAGACGCTCCGTCGGATAGTCGATGGTCAGTCCGTTCGGCCAGAACAGCTCCTCGCTGATGATGGTCCGCCGGCCGCCGCCGTCGCCGTGCGAACGCTCGATACGAGCCTCCTCGCCTGCCGGGGAAGGAGACAGGCAGTCAGCGGCCTGGCGGTTACTCACTTTAGGGTAAGGTTTGACTGCTGAGCCGCCGGGACGAACCCGTTCCATCGACAACGGCCGCCAGACTAAAGAACTGCTATTGTCATTTACTCCCTCGGGTCTTGACTACTGCGGTGTAGTTAAATGCGAGCTCTGGAGGGTCTGCAAGGTAGCGATATTCTGAGACTCACCAACGGTACCACATCTCTTCACTAACACATAAGCATTGATGGTACACAAACATATATACCATGAGATAAGACGTCTGCTATAGACACCAAACGGTCACGGCAATCTCTCAGGAGTTCCAACTGCAGCGCTCACCGGTGTCTGTCCAAAACAGCAGCGCCCGCTCTGGGTGCAGACAGAGCGCGCGCGGCCGGTCCAGTCCCTCGGTGATGACGGCGTGCCGCTGCCGGCCGTCCAGCTGACTGACCTCGATGACACTCTGCCGCTCGTCAGCCCAGTAGAGGAGGTCGTGCAGCCAGTCGACTGCCAGACCGACCGGGTGCAGCAGGCCGCCGTACACCACCGCTGACGGGGAGGGGGAGACACCGTAAGTTAGTGTAGGCTAGGAACTAGACAGACGACACTGCAGTCACTTTATACGACTGGAAGATCGACGGTGGTCAGTCAAGAATGGATTGACCGACATTACGGTCAGTAGGTATGAACTAGATGCACAGTCTAGTCACAGTCCCGTATGGTCTGATAGCACAGTCAGCAGAATTCAAGCGGACAACGGTGCAGTCAGCAGACTGGGTGAACACTGAACATATGGTGCAGCTAACAAAGATTACCGTCAGAGCTCAATCCAACTCATTGCTGGTGGAATGGCCAGACCACCGTCAGCATATAATTCCGATCATCAATTCCCTCGGCACCAAACCGCTAACCACCACTTAAATTCCGCAGTCCAACAGTTGTTCAACGGGCCACACCACAGCCAGAGAAACCGCCCCGTCCGACCACTCACTGGTTGGCGGCGAGTTCCCAGAGATGAGGGAGCGGTAGATGACGTTCTGCGCCGTGTCCATCCAGAACAGCAGGCCCTTGTTGAAGTGGAAGTCCAGGTAGACGGCGTTGGCCAGGCCTTTGTGCGCCAGCGCGGCCGGCGCTCCGTTCGTGGTCAGCTGGGGACGAACAGAGGTCAGCAGTGGGGACGAGGCGGATAAAGCCGATGAAAAGCCAATTGAGACACGTCACCATCGATCGAGGAGCTAATCATTTCAAATGAAAACAAAAGTGGGCTCGCCGTTGGCCGAAGTCGGTACGAAAGAGCGTAAATAAGCAAACACATGGAGGCAAAAAAAAAAACTACTGACATTTATAAGTTTACATTACGTTCAAAGTCATCGCTGATTTGGAATTTAGCCAGCCGCATTGGGCAGCTATTGCTGTTTATTAGCGTTTCGGCCACCATATCCCACGGCCCATACCCGTGTCGTGTTCAGAGAAGCCCCGCGCTTGTCTGCCGTCCAAAGGAAGAAAACCGTAAGCGCCATTTACCAAATTTTACAGGAGAGCACTTTTTCGGTTTTCATTTAATACACTCTTACAGAGTGGATGTTTATTGTAAAATTAGGTATAGAAATGATGCTTTCTTTATCAGCAACCTACTGATATGCTTTATTTCCCTCAAAATTGAATACTTTTTGCTATATTTCAATAAATGCTTTTTTCCTTAGTCAACAAGTCAACATTTAGGTGCATCTGTCAAGTCAAATAAACGTATGTCAAGCCTGAATCTCACGGATGGCGGATACGCTTATTTACCTTGGTCACCATGGGCCGAGAAAAAGTGGCAAAAAGACGTATGATGTGACTTACGTCTTTTTGTTTTTGATACTAACCTCCGTCTTCCTACTCAATGACCGGCCAAAAAGCGTAAGTGCACGATACGCCTTTCTGCCCTTTGTCATTTCAGCCGAATTCGAGATAAAGTGACAATAAAATAGCCGTATGTCGTACCAGAAAATGAATGAAATGAATGAAAAGGAAAGAATGAATGAATGAAAAGCGTATTAAGTACCTACACATGAATCCGGGGCAACTGCGTAAAATAATGCGGCAAATGAGTGTAAAAACGGAGTCAGAGTCGGGGTCAGTCGAAGTCAACAATTCTGACAGGAGTTGGAGTCGGGATCGGAGCAACTTTGGAAGCCGGAGTCGGAGTCGCGACTTCGACTCTGCATAATTCATTGCCTGGACAGCGACACGCAGGGATGCGGAGTCGGGGTCGGAGTTTGAGTAGGAGTTGGTCGGAGTCTACAGTTCTTCACGAAGTCGGAGTTGGAGTCGATTTTGGGAGCCGGAGTCGAGTTACCGAAAATCTCGACCGCTCAGCCTTGGTCAAAACAGAAGCGTCGCTTTCCTTCTAGCTCAGGATGTACCGCACTGTTGTCTTGGCTCTGTTCTGCAGAGCAAGCAAGAAGTCTGTGGCGGGAGATCAGCCCCAGCAGATTCTTGCATGGCTCGTCGATTTTCTTGTGCAGCATACGGGTAAAGATCCGGAGGAGATTGCCTTCTCTTTAGTGCTCGAAGGTACGGCTCTCGCGAAATTAAGCGGTAGGTTTGCACTTTTACATTTCCGGTTATATCTCAGAAACTAATCGAACTACGATGAAGCTATTTCACGATCATGGCCGGCTTGTGAACCAACAAGTCGATCGCATCTTCAACACTTATAGGCGACGAATGTATAGCCTGAAGTACACTAAATTTTCTAGGTGCAAACTGCAAAACCTACCGTTAAAACCCGCGAGACCTGTACCTGTAATACGGTGCCGCCGGCGGATACGACATGCTGACGGGACGCTATCGTGTCACAGTCACACTTAATTGTGTGAGTTCCACCTCCTCGCCTGTCCTTAGGAGTGGCTGACTGCGTACTTGACTGCTCCACCCCGTTGTGTATCGAAGCATCGTTGCAGGGTAGGCGGTGGTCCGTACCATAACCGGCTGCCCCCTGTCCACCCCGGTTCACGTTGTGATGACGGAAACCGGGCTGATGCCGGTGGCCGCCCGCCGGGCTGTTTTAGAGGCCAAGCTCCTCGCCAAGGCATACGTGCTAATCGAAATGACCCGCTCAGGTCAGCCGCGGAGGCGGAGGGGCGACACCGGCTGAAATTCGTGACGGACTGGTGCGAGGCCGTGTGCGATGCGTGACGGGCCGCTGGGATCGTCCCACCGTTCAGTCACCCTGCAGCCAACCCGCTCACCGCCGTGGGAGGTGACTGCCTGTCCCCACGTTACATTCGGCCTGGACATCGAGATTCTGCGACTGGGAGCCTCGGCCGATGGTCTGCGCCGGGCGGCGCGGCGACTTCTGATCTTTCTTCTCCAACGAGCCACCTGGGTGTGGACGGACGGTTCGGCGGACGCTGGAGTCCACTGCGGAGGAGCTGGAGTGTTCGTGGACTGGCCGGACGACTGACGAGCCGCGCTCCCGTCGACGTCCACCAGCTCCGCGCCGGGCACTGAACCAGGTCCCAACAGTGTTTACCCAAAATCGTCAAAAGTCCCACTACCGCCTGCGCCAGGTGCGAAGATGAAAGATGCACCGCGGCCAGATGCAGCATCTGTCTTGAAGAGGCGGACACCCTGGCGCACGTGCTACTGAGGTGCATCAGTCATCACCCTCATGACCTGCGGTTTTGCGTGCTGGGAACAAACCACCCGACGACCGAGGAGCTGCGTAGCGCCGACGTGGTGGCGGCTTTGGGGGGCCGCCTTCGTCTCCCTTCAGAGCCGATTGGCTACCCCTCTTTGGGCCGCAGAGAGACAAACAACAACAGCTGAGCTCCCCGGCCGGCCATGTCTTCTCCAGCTTCAGGACGGAGCTGGCCGCGCTCCGCTCAGCCCTGGACCACATGCGAGCGAGACCATACGCAGCATGCGAATCTTCCAACAGTTTTTTTTTTGTACGGACTCCCAGGCAGCACTCGCGGCCCTCCGGGAGGGGGTTGGGGGGTGACCCAAAAGTCCCCGCTGGGTACCGTCGTATGGATGGGTTTGGCAGCACTGGTCGTCCCGCCCCATCACATCCACCTGCAGTGGGTGCCGTCCCGCTGCAGCATCGACGGGAATCAGCGCGCCGACCAGGTCGCCAAGGAGGCGGCGACGCTCCCCAAGCAGCGGTCCAGGTGGATGTCGGCACCGCCCACCGCGCGGTTATCAGAATAGCATGCGACCGCGCCGTCGCCGCCTGGCCGGACGGCTGGTACCCGGGACCGATTGCCACCGCCGCGCCGATGGCGGAGGAGGACCGCTCTTTAGCCGAAGACGTTCACCAGCTCTGTGCGAGCTACTGGTCGGGGCCCCGCCAGAGCCTGCACTGGATCGTATGGAACTCTACCGTGGAGTGCTGCCAGTGCCCCGACACCGATTGCGCGGCGGGCCGGTGCACCGTGTGCCGACAGGAGGCATACACTCCTGTTGTTGTTGATTGTTGTTGATTTTCCCTCCGGCTGCGGGTGGCCCCGCGGCGTAGCCTCATCGGCTCTGGAGGGCCCTGAAGGCGGCCACCAGGGCCGCCACCACGTCACTGCGCCAGACCTCGTCGGGTGTTGGTAAGATGTTCCTTACGGCCGGGATTCTGAGGCGAACACCCATCAGGCCCGGGCACGTGAGCAGGATGTGCCGGGGGGTGTCCGCCTCTTCGCCGCACAGCGGGCACCGGGCGGCCTCGCATAGCAGGTCCCGGCATTGGGCGCAGGCGGCTGAGGGGCTCCGGCCGATGGAGTGCAGGAACTGGGTCGATCCACTCCAGTGGCCAGTCCGGATCTGGTGGACATCGATGGCTGATCGCCGATCCAGGTTGGAGATTGGGGGCAGGTATCTCGTACCCATCAGCTCACGGTACCAGCCGGTCGCCGCTCTGCGTGTCGGGTCCGGGTATGACGGTCTGTCCCTGGCGCCCGGTCCCTGGCTAGACAGTAGACGGACCGCAGCCTTGTAGATGGTGTTGACGTCGATGGAGGCGATTTCTTGTTCCAGCGCCGCCGCCTCTCCCGCCAGCACGTCCACCGCCTCGTTGCCTGGGATCCCACAATGGGAGGGGACCCACTGCAGCGTCACGTGGCGGTCCGGTGCAGCGATTTCCAGCAGGCGGCTCCATATCTCCGCCCCCTTGGCCGTCCTCTGGGCCGAAGGCCCCTCTCTCAGTGCAGCCAGGGCAGACTGTGAGTCAGTACAAATAAACGTATGTCCATCGAGCTTGCCATTTTGCTTGGGGACGGGTATACTGACAATGGATAAAAACCGTAAGTCCATCGTACGTCTTTTTGCCATTAGAAATTCGGCAGGGTGACCAGGAAAATAAACGTATACGCCCACATACGGCTGGCCGAAATTGTCGGACAATCCTTTCCAGAATGGAAGATAAACGTAAGTGCATTTTTTCGGTTTCTACCAAGGCAAATAAACGTATATCCATCTGTAAGTTTATTTTCCGTTGTACCATGTTGACAATGTATGGTGGCAAATAAACGTAACTGAGCACTTGCGTCTTTTATCCATGGTTACTCCGAGTTTTAGCCGATTTTTCGTTGATCATACGTTTTTTTGTCAAAGATACGTTTATTTGCCAGTATTATAAAATGCTTTATGTGACATAAGGTTATTTTGAAATATTTTATTCTTGTATAACTTGGTATAAAATCATTTAATATCTGTGTAATGTATATGGTTAGATGCAGAATAACATGACGATTCCAATGATACCAATAACTCATTTTCGGTAAAAGTGGCGCTTACGGCTTTCTTCCTTTGTACGGCAGTTGTCTCCGAACCTGTTCGATGGCGTGCCGATCTGCGAGCAGCAGGGAGGCCGGCGGCGCCCCGGCACGACACGTCTGCCCGTCCGAGCGCAGCTGGTAGCCGTCTGCGCAGCTGCAACGGTAGCTGCCGTCCGTGTTCACACACCGGTGGCCGCACGGCCGCGACAGAGCACACTCGTCCACGTCCTTACAGCTGTGGGGAGCAGAAGGAAGGCGAAGAGTCACGGGATGTCATCGGTGGGTCGGGCGGGAAGTGAGGAGAGGACACATGGAGGGGACAGCCACATGGTTAGGGATTCATTTCGAGTCTCTGAGAAATGATTCTTTGCAATGTTGATGGCTTGAATTCGGTAATTCTATGGGAAGACATGTTATGGATAGTTCTGCTGTTCACCAACTGATAAGAAGTGAATATACCCCCGATGTAAGAACCCCCCTACCACACTAATTGTGTCAGCCCATACATTGTGACTTACATCGCGTCTGGTCTAGTCTCTCCCAGGTCCCACTGCCCGGTGGCAACGCCATGACATTGCCCACTGACCTGACGCGGTCGGCCTGGAGGGCGTATCCCTGCCGGCAGGTGCAGTTGGGTGCCGTATCCGAGGGCAGGCCGATACAGAGGTGTTCGCAGCGGGCCGACGGCGGGCACTGGGCCAGGTGGGCGCAGTCGTCCTCGTCTGATGGACACGCGGCGACACAGCAGGGTGGTCAGACAGCGGGACTTGAGAGTTGAGACCCAGGGATAATTCATAGTGGAAATACGGCAATGGGCATTAGACAATAGGACAAGCCGAACCAGAGACAAGCGGCAAACTGCGCAATAATGAAGCGTGAAAATAAAACATTTTCAATGTGAAAATACAGAAATGAAAGATAGGTACCACCTACAGACCAATCGTCCCCGGTCGTCAGTAATTGTGACAAAAAGTTAGCACTCGATTGGCTGATCGATCCGCGCGTTGTCTGTATCGGCGACAGCTGTAGCCCGTCGACACCCACACCGTCCAATTCTGCCCGGAACCGGCCAATATCCTGCCCGCCACCCTAATAATTGCATCCGGTCGGCTCGCAGCTACACAGCCCTACCAGAACACCCGTTGCCGCTAGCCGAAGTCAACCATGCACAGACTTGTGCAACAAGCAACCTATGCCGTTCACATTAGTTACTCCGACCGCCTATCCATCGTTCAACGTTCACCAGTCTACCACAGCTCTGTCGAACAGTGAAGTGACCACCCGTCCCTACTCACCGTGTCCCCAGGCGCACTGTCGCACTCAGTACCGTATCATCAGGCGCACTGTCGCACTCACCGTATCCCCAGGCGCACTGTCGCACTCACCGTGTCCCCAGGCCCACTGTCGCACTCCCCCCCAGGCCCACTGTCGCACTCACCGTGTCCCCAGGCGCACTGTCGCACGCCGTCGCAAACCTGCTCCTGGGGCAGGCACGTGCCGTCCGGACATCGGAACAGCTCGGGAGCGCAGTTTGGCTCACAGTCGCGCTCATCCTCGCCGGCCGTGCAGTCGGGGTGGCTGTCACAGTGGTCCTCAATCTGTGGGGGATAGCTCAGTCAGTCACAGTACCCGGACTGAGCCAGTCCGGCAGTCGGGGTGGCTGTCACAGTGGTCCTCCATCTGGGGGGGGGGGGGGGAGATAAAGAAGTCACAGTACCCGGACTGAATCAGTCCTCAGTCGGGGTGGCTATCACGGTGGTCCTCCATCTGGGGGGGGGGGGGGAAATAAAGAAGTCACAGTACCCGGACTGAATCAGTCCTCAGTCGGGGTGGCTATCATAATGGTCCTCAATCTGGAGAATCTGGAAGGGAGAGATAACTCAGTCAGTCAGTCACAGTACCCGGAAATCAGTCCTCAGTCGGGGTGGCTGTCACAGTGGTCCTCAATCTGGGGGGGGGGGAGATAAAGAAGTCACAGTACCCGGACTGAATCAGTCCGCAGTCGGGGTGACTGTTGCAGCGGTCCTCAATCTGTGTGAGATATTATTATCAGTCATCAGTTTCAAAAATCGCTTCAGCTTTGGTAGTTGTTTGGCCGTCATTCCCCGAGACTTCAGCCAGCGCTCACTCTGCTGACAGGCGGCCGCACACTGGGCCATTCGGCGGGCGAGATTCCGCAAAAGCGGAATGTCGCGGGCGACATTCCTACAGCGGCTTTCCGCTTGTTTTCAGCAGTTTACAGGACCATTCGGCGGTGCGATTTTCTACTTAGTATTTTCAGGAACTTAATGTGAAACATTTTATGATAAATATAAACGAATGCAAACTAAATACATTTAAGCAAATACATAGATAACATGAACTACCTGGATTGGACACTCGTTTTTGGCGCCAAAAATAAGAGGCCACTTTGGCCTCTTATTTTTAAAGACGGCCTGTAACACTTTTGAGAAGCTGATATCTCAGCAACCACTGGGCCGATTAGACTGCGGTCTTTTTTGTTCGGTAGCCCTATCCCTTCTGCCCCATAATTGACTTCTCATGATGCGTCTAGGTGACTGCCGTAGCACGTGCCACGTGAAAAGTCAGGGGTGTTCACTGTTCAGGGTATTTTGCATAAGTAGCGCTTTTGCGAGGCTTATATCTCAGCAACCACTTGACCGATGTACATGCGGTAATTTTTGTAGGGTAGCTTCATTCATTTTACCAAGTATTGGACTGTTCCCGATGCATGTGGGTGACCCCTTATGCACGTGCCACGTGCAATACGAAGAAGTGTCAGTTTTGTAACAATTGCAATATCTCGGTAACTACTCGGCCGATTGCGCTGAAACTTGGCATACAAATACGCACCCACCGGCAATGTATATCCATGTGCCAGAAATGGGGTGCTGCTGCACGTGCGCACGTGCAGGGCAGGGGTCGTTTCCAGATCTCGAGAACGGCTGGACCGATGGCGCTCAAATTTGGTACACGGCTAGGGACCAGTTAGAAGGGTGCCGTGCACAAGTCAGTTGGGACCCATATTGCACGTGCGCACGTGCAGGGTGCCGCTTCCAGATCTCGAGAACGGCTGGACCGATGGCGCTCAAATTTGGTACACGGTTAGGGACCAGTTAGAAGGGTGCCGTGCACAAGGCAGTTGGGACCCATATTGCACGTGCGCACGTGCAGGGTGCCGCTTCCAGATCTCGAGAACGGCTGGACCGATGGCGCTCAAATTTGGTACACGATTAGGGACCAGTTAGAAGGGTGCCGTGCACAAGTCAGTTGGGACCCATATTGCACGTGCGCACGTGCAGGGTGCCGCTTCCAGATCTCGAGAACGGCTGGACCGATGGCGCTCAAATTTGGTACACGGTTAGGGACCAGTTAGAAGGGTGCCGTGCACAAGTCAGTTGGGACCCATATTGCACGTGCGCACGTGCAGGGTGCCGCTTCCAGATCTCGAGAACGGCTTGACCGATGGCGCTCAAATTTGGTACACGGTTAGGGACCAGTTAGAAGGGTGCCGTGCACAAGGCAGTTGGGACCCATATTGCACGTGCGCACGTGCAGGGTGCCGCTTCCAGATCTCGAGAACGGCTGGACCGATTGCACTCATATTTGGCACATCGCTATAGACCGGTTAGTAGGGTGCCGTGCACCGAGAAAGTTGTGGCTCTGCGCGTGCTCACGCGCGCACGTGCACACCCCTCCGTCATATCTCGGGAACGGACTGACCGATTGCAATGAAATTTGGTGTGTGGCTGTTTGTTGCTTTTGTTGTGTGACCATGATGCTGACCGTGTATGAATTTTTCTCAGTCGACGAAGGTAAAGTAATGCACGTGCGCACATGCACACCTTATTTATATTTCTTCGAAAATCACCAAATATAACTGGTTTCCACATACATGTTTTGAAAAGCACATTTCATCGCAGTATGAGCACGGTGCACAACACATAAATAAAAGTCGTTTTGGCCTGCTTGACCAAAACAGGCAAGAGTTTTTTAGATGACCACCCCAAACCCGAGGAAAAGTAAGAATGCCCATCCAACCGAGGAGAGTCCCACGATGCCAACCTCTTCGCCAGCGTCTTGTACAAACTAAGCCTATGTATAAAAAACAACGGCATAAGATAAGAGCACTTAACACAATTGTGGGTCACCACACTCCTCACGCTCACGCATGTGGGACTACGGTACGCCCGGTCGGCCAGACTGGGACGGCGCCGTATGACAGTTTCCACAGTCCATGGGAGTCCGTAGGCTATCTCCAGAGTTAGCCCGGATAGGTAAAGGGCGAGGCACGAAAGCACTACCACAGTTCAGTTGAGTTCTCGACAACATGTGCGAGATCGCACACGCCTCTTCGTGTGTGCGCTAGTACCTCTAGGCTCTAGCTCTTCTTGATGCCGGATAGCTTACGCCTCTTATCGTCTGTTGCTTTCTTCGCTGCACAGTTTCCACGTTTGGCATGGATCGCGCTGTTGATGTCCCTCACCATGTTGCCTGCAAACAGGTTAAACAAGGCCCTTGACATACGTTCCAAGCTTTGGGCGAATCCATGCCCCTTGGGGCAGCTTGTATCTCTGACGATGGAGCTTCGTGTCGTGACTGCTTTTACCACGTCGACAAATGCCTCTCTGGGACTAAAGCATTCAAAAAGAAGTCTTTTTGATGCCTCTTTTCGCACGAGTTCTTTCCAGATTCTAAGGATAAGCATCGTGGTTTCTATGGCGAGCGAGGACGGCACGATGAGTCGCCCTCGATCCAATATCTTCGTGAAAGACTGGACGATGCTGTCCTCCTGGTCCTCATTGTTCACTTGAATGGGTATGCTGCCATGCTCTCTTGAGACCAGAACGTCGGAGCACTCCTTGCACTGCCCGTTTTTTGTTGCTGACCGAGCCAGGTATCCGGCGATATGCCCCAGTGCTGCCTTTTCTGAATCAGACGGCTGGTCTTGTTCAGCGTCTTCTGATTCTTCGACAGCTTCTCTCAGCTTGAGTACGGCTGCTGAGTCACCTTGGGCTCTGGTCTTCTGCGAAAGTGCCATTCTGGTCGGTAGTTCGGAGACCTTTACTCCAGACCACCAGATAAGACTGCTGACGCGGATGACCGTTTCGCCCTCCATGAACTGACGTACACTGGCCCAGTAGTTGCTCCCAATTTTTGATCAATTTCGGTTGATCAATTTTTTTCGGCAAAAGATGCGCAAAGGTTGCCCCAGAGGGTATTGAAAATTTCAGCCCGCTACGACAAGCCGTTTAGCGTGCACTTCGAAAAAACCTCAGGGGGTTTATCCCCTAATCGTAAGCCAACTTCGATCAATATCGGGCCTGCTCGTTATTAAGCCGTTATTATGAGGTGTGCACGTGGCACGTGCATATTCACACCCTTCTGAGGCACACAGTCACGACACTTTGTTATCCTTCAATCGCACACCAGCTTTTTATTGAAGGCGGCGTGTCCCATTTTTAGCTGGAACTATGGGATGTGCACGTGCGAACGTGCATTACCTCACCTTCGTCGACTGAGAAAAACTCATACACGGTCAGCATCCAGCCACACACCAAATTTCATTGCAGTCGGTCAGTCCGTTCCCGAGATATGACGGAGGGGTGTGCACGTGCGCGCGTGAGCACGCGCAGAGCCACAACTTTCTCGGTGCACGGCACCCTACTAACCGGTCTATAGCGATGTGCCAAATATGAGTGCAATCGGCCCAGCCGTTCTTGAGATGTGGAAGCGACACCTTGCACGTGCGCACGTGCAATATGGGTCCCAACTGCCTTGTGCACGGCACCCTACTAACTGGTCCCTAACCGTGTACCAAATTTGAGCGCCATCGGTCCAGCCGTTCTCGAGATCTGGAAGCGGCACCCTGCACGTGCGCACGTGCAATATGGGTCCCAACTGCCTTGTGCACGGCACCCTTCTAACTGGTCCCTAACCGTGTACCAAATTTGAGCGCCATCGGTCCAGCCGTTCTCGAGATCTGGAAGCGGCACCCTGCACGTGCGCACGTGCAATATGGGTCCCAACTGACTTGTGCACGGCACCCTTCTAACTGGTCCCTAATCGTGTACCAAATTTGAGCGCCATCGGTCCAGCCGTTCTCGAGATCTGGAAGCGGCACCCTGCACGTGCGCACGTGCAATATGGGTCCCAACTGCCTTGTGCACGGCACCCTTCTAACTGGTCCCTAACCGTGTACCAAATTTGAGCGCCATCGGTCCAGCCGTTCTCGAGATCTGGAAGCGGCACCCTGCACGTGCGCACGTGCAATATGGGTCCCAACTGACTTGTGCACGGCACCCTTCTAACTGGTCCCTAGCCGTGTACCAAATTTGAGCGCCATCGGTCCAGCCGTTCTCGAGATCTGGAAACGACCCCTGCCCTGCACGTGCGCACGTGCAGCAGCACCCCATTTCTGGCACATGGATATACATTGCCGGTGGGTGCGTATTTGTATGCCAAGTTTCAGCGCAATCGGCCGAGTAGTTACCGAGATATTGCAATTGTTACAAAACTGACACTTCTTCGTATTGCACGTGGCACGTGCATAAGGGGTCACCCACATGCATCGGGAACAGTCCAATACTTGGTAAAATGAATGAAGCTACCCTACAAAAATTACCGCATGTACATCGGTCAAGTGGTTGCTGAGATATAAGCCTCGCAAAAGCGCTACTTATGCAAAATACCCTGAACAGTGAACACCCCTGACTTTTCACGTGGCACGTGCTACGGCAGTCACCTAGACGCATCATGAGAAGTCAATTATGGGGCAGAAGGGATGGGGCTACCGAACAAAAAAGACCGCAGGCTAATCGGCCCAGTGGTTGCTGAGATATCAGCCTCTCAAAAGTGTTACAGGCCGTCTTTAAAAATAAGAGGCCAAAGTGGCCTCTTATTTTTGGCGCCAAAAACGAGTGTCCAATCCAGGTAGTTCATGTTATCTATGTATTAGCTTATTTAATGCGATTATGCTATATTTCTGTACAATAAAGTTTTGAATATCTATTAATTTGACATAATTTCTGGAGGAAGTTGCAAAAAATAAAGCTCGTGATTAATGTAAACAACCGTGTTTGTCGACAAATGCAAGAAACCTAAAGACAATTGTGGAGAGGCACATAGTAACCCATTATTGGAATAACCAATGAAGTGTATAAAAAACATTTAATATGGGGAAGGAAGTGCCGCTACGATTTTTTATCAAGTGAAGTCTATTTCTCGGCTGCTCCATCAATAGTTGGTGAGTTTCAAGTTCCACAATTTCGGGTGTCCGCGGCGTCGCCGCGGAAAAAGCTGAACCGGTCCAGCTTTTTCCGCAACTCCGCGGCTGTTCGCGCGCATGCGCACTCTACCCGCGGACAGCTAGCTGGCAGCGGTCGGCTGATAATTTTGTCGTTTCGGCAGCTGATTCGGCGTCCACGAAAGCGTAATGTCGCCACGGAATTGCGTTTTTGCGGAATGTCGCCCGCCGAATGGCCTAGTGTGCGGCCGCCTTTAGTCGGTGCTTTGTTCCAGCGAACATTACATCGGTTCTGAGTGGACACAGGCAGTGTTGAATCCCCAGGCCTAGGAACTGACCGTCCCGTAAATCAGGTAATGGAACATCGGACTGTTGGTCACGAGGACCTGAGTTCCGGTGGCTGCTCTAGCGTTCAATACATTATATTTCTGACAGGGTAGTTTGCTGCTGGTGGAATCAGCCGCAGGCAGTTGAGGCTGGTAGGTGGGTGAGCCACATCCGGCAATGTAAGCACGGACAACTTTACTTCTGAATCATCTCGACTCCGATAACTTCTTTCAACAGCTGCGCAACAAGTACCGCTTAGTTCGGGCTTGAACTTGCGAGATCCAGCCATTAAGTAGATTGCAGCAAAAATTATACAAGTAGCTAGCAGCCAACATCTTACCACAAAACCCAGCTGCACCATAGGACTAGAGCCGTCTCCCTCCCGAGTTCCGAGTTTCGCTCACCGGAATACACATGCCACTATCGCAGGTGAACTGGTCGGCGGCACAGGGTTCTCTAATTCCCCCCAGTTATGCTCACCGGAATACACATGCCGCTATCACAGGTGAACTGGTCGGCAGCACAGGGTTCCCGAGTTCCCTGAATTTTCTAGGCTTCGCTCACCGGAATACACATGCCGCTATCACAGGTGAACTGGTCGGCGGCACAGGGCGGCGGCGGCTGCAGCGTCGCACAGCCCTCTTCGTCCCTTCCGTCGGCGCAGTCGGGACTACCGTCACAAACCCAGCTGGCTTCGATACACATCGTCTGACACCTGGGAACAGTCACAGAGACAGTCACACAGTCACACAGACAGTAATACAGACAGCAGCACAGACAGTGACTTGGGCTACCGTCACAAACCCAGCTGGCCTCGATACACATCGTCCGACACCTGTGAACAGTCACACTGCAGAGTAACACAGACAGTCACACAGACAATTAGCGCAGACACGCAGTCACACAGACAGTCGGGTAACCATCACAAACCCAGCTGGCCTCGATACACAATATCGTCTATAAACTTGTGAATAATTCTGCTAGTCAAAAACTTTATTTTTGCAAGCACTGATTGACTAATCCAATGCAGCACTAACTGCATCTTCCCTTCGCTACCCTGTCTCCACCATCCAGCCTCCCGTCACCACCCGTTACCCACCTCATCCCTCCGACAGGACAGGTGATGTTACAGCCAAACTCATCCGAGCCGTCACCGCAGTCGTCCCGGCCGTCACACTGCTGAGACGCGGCGATACAGAACGACCGGTGCGGACACCAGAAGCCCTCCCGGCCGCACGGCGACGACGGCGCTGCGGGGAAGAAAACAGAGACTTAGACATGGTGGCCGACTTCAGTAGAATTAAGAAAAAGCTTTTGGGCACGCTTTAACAGTGATCACGTCCACAGACCCAGTGACTTTTCCAACGAGACGTAACAGATTAGTGCTCTTCGACTGTTTGTGTACAAGACGTGTGTGAAGGTGGACTATCGGTAAACATGTGTTCGTGTGTCCGTATGCATGCCACACATTTGTGAACTGTCAATTAGCCAGCAAGTGTCCATGAGCTACCCTCTGACACCCAGTCCGTGGACACACATGTGTCTGTTAACGGGCTCACCTGCGCAGCCAATCTCGTCCGATCCGTCCTCACAGTCCGGGGTGCCATCACAGCGGTACAGAACGTCCAGGCAGCGGCCGTCGCCCCGGCATTGCACCTGGCCCGGCACGCAGCGTCTGGAAGGAAGGAGCGAGTTTTTTTTTCACGTTTATTGACAAATCGTACAAATATGACACAAGTACATCTATAATAATCGAAGGCTCTCCAGCCCAACAAGGACAATCTCTGTCATGGTTTCTGACGCCGGTTTTCCGTCTATGCTAAACGAGCTCCCCAGATTGAGGCGTTTAAACCCGCAAACGCCTGATATGCACCGACACAATAGGGCTTTCAAAACCCCCACAACGTGCGAGTAATATTTGGCAAGCGTACACGCTGGCATATACATACAGTGTTGGGAAGGAGCGAGTTAGTTTGAACTGTGAGAGGCAGCAGACGCGAGTTTTGCGTCAGGGGAAGCAGGTCTATTACCCTGGGGATATGATAGTCTCGAGGACCGGCACTCAACCGCCTAGGGTGGGGACGAACGTCAGGTAGCAAATTGTTATCCTCTAATGATCTTAATTGAGGAATGCACTGTGGCTGCCAATAGGCATCCATATATCCATATCCAGGATATTCAGAGCCCATCCCAGATGGGAGACTAGGGTAACCACGTCAGGACCCAGAAAGAAAACACACATCGTCTTAGGATGTGTGTCGTCTGCCGGCCTAGGGACTCAAATCTCCACCACCCGGGTGTGTACCTGCGCTGCGGCGCGGCACATCCCATCTCGTCCGAGCCGTCCGGGCAGTCGGGCACGCCGTCACAGCGCCAGTCGAGGTGCACGCACAGCCGGTGGTCGCTGCAGGGCGTCTGGCCGGCCGGACAAACCCGCGAGCCGGCCTCGCACGAGCCCTCATCGCTGCCATCAGCGCAGTCGGCAGACTGGTCGCAGAGCTTCCGCGGCGCCAGACACTGGCTGCCGCCGTCACAGGAAAAATCTGCGGCACAGCCGAGCCGCCCGGCGACGGATGAGCAGATGTTCACAGAACTGAATACAGCGCCTGTAGCCTTTTGGTGGCTAGTCAAACCGGTATGGCATTGTATCTGTATTTTGCACAGGTATGCATGCAAGTTGCAACATAACGGCATAATGTTGATTACGTCACCATATATCGCACACATGTTGACAGCAAGGAACGCGAATAGAATCAGCCATGTAATTGCCGCTAGTTAATCTTCTCACCAAAAGTACTCTTTTGACTTTCATGACTTAGTCCTTACGTTATCGAACATGCTAGAAATTGCTCACCACTTCCGGTGCACACCAGCGCCCACGCCGAGCCCCACCGAATCACACCTGAAAACACACGGAATGCTCTCGTAAGTCCTATGTGGATTAGTGATGTCAATTACGGAAAATCGGAATACCGATACCAAACCAAATAGTCCAGACATGTGCATGGATCCGAGTGATGAATCTATGATCTCAGTGGATCTCGAAGCAAAGTACAGGTTGGGATCTATGATCCCACCGGATCCGGCGTAAAAAATACATCTTGAATCTATGATCTCATATGATCTGACGATAAATTAAGAACATGGATCTATGGTCTGAGTGGATCCCACTATGCACCACATTTGAAACCATGTTTTAAAGGGTTTATATGCCAATAAGTGACACAAAACTCAGGATTATGACGTGTGATCACATAAAATCACTAAAACAGAACGTTTGTGAGTTGAAACAAGTGCTTTTTTGGGATATATGTGTTGACAAAAAATAAGTGAGGATCTATGATCTCACTGGATCTCAAGCAAAAAATGAGACTCGGATCTGTGATCCCTACGGATCTCTCGATAAATTACAGAGCTGGATCTATGATCCCGTCGGATCCGAGATCAGGATCCGTGGGATCAGATCCCAGATCCATTTTATCGGATCCATGCACATGTCTGCCAAATACCAACCAAAACCGTGGAGAAATACCGAAACCAAACCAACTTGGGAACATGAGGAAAATACCAACCTTTTACCGATTTCTTAGCCTCTTAAACATTAGCGATGGTTCATGATACCAACAAAATACCAAGCACATTAGGATTGAAATACCAAATACCGAGTTGGTATCGGTTTGGTATCGGTATACCAAAAAGTTGGTATCCGATTGACATCTCTAATGTGGATTCCCATAGAAAGTGCGATTGAAACACGGAACGTTTCAGTTAGGACTGATGAGCTGAGCATTGGGGAGTCTACCAAATCACAACTGAAGCACACCGGATGTCTCAAGAAAACATATGCATATTCCCATCGAATTAGAAATATAAAACATAGAATCACTCAGTTAGGCAGATACTGAACCACACCAAATCACACCTGAAAAATGTCTCCATAAGACTTGTAAGGATTGGGAGTCCCACGCAATCACAGCCAAAATTCATAACACGGCCACGTAAGACGTTGGCAAGACGTCGGCGTTATCATCCGCATCCGCGAAATAGCCTTATATAGAATGTTAACCCGCGCCCCACTGGGGGGGGGCTATTTATAGCCCCCCTCCCGTTTTTCTGCAATAACTTCCAAACCGCTTGACGGATCGACGCCAAACTTACAGTACCTTTGGCTGCATCAATTTGACACCTTGTGTCAAAATTTGAACTTCGTAGCTACCATAGGTCGGCCGGAAATGACGTCAGAGTGACGTCATGTTCGGCCGATTTCGACGCAAAACATTGAACCACGGCAATCGCTCCCAAGAGCTCAGGTTTTAAGCTAGATTCAATTTCTTTGCATGAAAGGACTCAGAATTGACCGCGCTATCAAACTGCTATCTCGAATTTTCAAAATTTTGAAAATTTCGAAAATTTTATATAATAATATTCAAAATATGTATTTTTATATTTTTTCAAAAAGTTTTTGACTTTTCGAAAAAAACCGGAATATATGTGACAGAACGCTTGATTATGACTAACTCTAGCAAGTTTTAGCTAAATATCTTCAAAAATGGCCAAGTTATACGCATTATTGCAAAAAATTCACAATTATTAATTTTTCAAATCAATTTTTCAGTACGTATTTGACATCGTACACCAATATAAATGGCACCATCGTGTTCCTGAGCTCAAACTGCATCCAATAGACACCTTTTTTGTTGAAAAGTTTTAACTTCAAAATTTGACCTTTTTTGACCTGAAAGTGACCTGACCTAAGCTAAATTCGACTCAAAATGACCTCGAATGACACAGACGACATCAAATTCGAAATCTATGGCCTAAATGGACCATAAAACATGTGTCACGTGACCGACGCATGATAAAATATTTTCGTGACCTGTGATGACCTGACCTTGACCTGAAAATCAAAGTAAAAGCTTGGTACCCTCAGGGTATCTAGAGCATCTGTTTAAGAGTGTGTGTACCAAAAATGAGCCTGATCTGACTTGTAAGACGGCGGCCAGAGCCCAAAATGTGAACAAGCCAAAATGCTAATAATTTTTACTTTGACCTGACCTGTGACGTCATCGGTGACCTCGAGGTCAATGAAATTAGGTTTCGCTCGACAGTTTTTCCGGGGCTATCAGACGCCGTTTGAATTTTGACGATCGGCCCAGTAGTTTCGGAGTTAGGAGGGGGGGCTATGAATAGCCCCCCCCCCCCCCAGTAGGGCGTGTTATACACAGACCCCAGTGGGGCGCGGGTTAAGTCGGTACACTTGTCACAGAAGAATAAAAGATTGAAATAATGCACGGTTAAGCACTTGCTATTTTGACAAGCTGACTATATAGGAGTTTGCAAACTTAATAAGGATATGGCCTAACAAATAACCGACTAATGACGACTCAGCACAGGTGCAGCTTCGGTACAGCTAAATATGCGCGTTTAGATATGGCCATTCGACCTTCGAAGGCTCGGCAAATATTTTACGGCTCTTTATGGGCATTTAATCATTTGAAACATTTTCACCTTCAAGCCTAAAACTTGTTCAAACTTGTTCAAACTTGTTCAACTTCAAACTTGTTCAACTTGTTGCGCAAAGAGTCAACCTGAAGGCTTAATCGTTGACCTGGAGGTCAATTCAGACGACAGTTCAGTATTTTTTATGCGCTATGGTGTTTTCGGCAATGTTATGCCTCTATTTCTCCACTGGTAAAGTGACCATTCATAATAATAATAAAAAATGATTAAGCCGGAAAATCGACCTTCGATCTATGGTGATCTTCCTTTTCTTTTCGCATGCTGATACCGAAAATGGCCGAGAAAATAATTGATGCGAAGTATGATCATTAACGTGCCAATAAAATGCCACTTACTTGTTAAATATAAAAATCAAACTACAGGCATGCCAGCGACTTTAAATATTAATCTAAACAATCTCAAAGACGTCTGAACCACGCCGGCAGTTGTTTGGACCCGGGTAAACTTGGCGTTCTCGGGAGGTTCGGCCTGGCGATGAAGTTCGTATCCGTGTGACGGGAATGTGAATGAGCCCGGGCATCTCTGTGACATGTCGGAACTAAGTTCGACACGGCGCAGCGTACCGCTCTCGGAGACCCCGGAGCACCGGCGAGGGACTCCGCTGGACCGTCTGACGGCCAGGGCTGCGGAGTCGGAGTCGGAGTCGGAGTCGGTCGGAGTCGACAGTTGTGACCGGAGTCGGAGTCGGAGTCGGAGTAGATTTTAGAAACCCGAGCCGGAGTCGGAGTCGGAGTCACCGAAATTCTGTCGACTCCGCAGCCCTGCTAGGTCTGCGGAGTCGGAGTCGGGAGTTGGAGTCGGTCGGAGTCGACAATTCTGCCCGGAGTCGGAGTCGGAGTCGGAGCTGGTTTTTGAAAGCCGAAGTCGGAGTCGGAGTCGGAGTCGCCGAAAATCCATCGACTCCGCAGCCCTGCTGACGGCGGTTCGGAACACGCCGCCAAACAATGACCACACGCTTCGAGCAGTGGGACAGTGTAACCCTAATCGATAGTTTCCTTATAAACCAACGAATCTATGACGCACGTGGGAATAGTGGTAGCATGACCCAGCATGAGTAGGCAGTCCGGAAAATACATTTTCAGTAAGCTTAAATGTTGCGTAAGCCAAGCAGCCAGAGGAGACGAGGTAAAATTCAGGCAATCGAATCATTTCATCAGACGTCTCCAATGCCAACACGGAAACATCTCCTGCCATACGCCAATGCATCAACTAGTCAAACTGCGTTGTAGCTAACCACGATGATTTAGCAAGTCAAAAATGCTGCCTGCCCAACAACAACCAGACGCAAGCAGGTGGTTTTCTGAAGAGTCCGATGTAATCCGCCGATAAGCTGGGAATGTTAGAAGTCGCCCACTACCTGCGTAGATCCCGGCCCGCGGGATCGGCGCCGAACTGACACAGCATTGGACCCGGCTGCGATCCGTGCCCTCCGCACTCAGCGCGCTGGGAAAACCATTATAATATACTCATAGCTGGGTCGTTTTCCAGAACGCTGATTGATCGGTTGTTGGTGACTCATCAATACCGTTCGAAGACACAACACAGCCGGAACAGAACTGTCAGGAAGAGGAATTTATTATATTGATCAGGAATTGTTGACAATCATCTGCAATCTTCCGTTAACATCCTTGTGACGACACCGAGCCTAACTGCACCGTCCGGGCTCATGGAACAATTTAACTTTTGACCTTCGCCCGTATTGGTGTTTTGCCAGCCGCGAACGTATAAGGGGGGGGGGGATCCAACGGATCCCCCTGCCGTTTGGCCTCTGATCGAGCTTAAGCTTTGCGGAAAAAACGAGCGTGTTGTCCGTGACGAGAGGAAGCCTATGATAGCCAATTTTAAGGTCCTGGGTAGTTGGTTGACCTTCCAGGTCAGGTCAATGACCCAAAAGTCGGGAAAATCGGGACCTGTTAGAACGTCGTATTGTGTCTGCTATGGGGTTTTCCGAGGTGCTGATCACGAATATCACGCAGGTTTTTATCACAGATGATGTCTTTGTGCATTTATGCCACGTCGAGTCAGGTCAGGTCAGGTCAACCAGTAGGGGTCCTGCCGGGTATTCGTAGTACGTGTCAACCGCCTCTGACAGCTTCGTAACATGTTACGAAGACACCAAAACTACTTCGTAAATGTTCAACTCGTTGCTGAATTCGAATTCAGGTCCAAAAAAAATAGCCTAGAAACATGCAAAACTCGAAAAAGTGAACAGAGGTCATCAAAGGTTAATGACCTGACCTTCAGGTGACCTTGACACCCACCCTAATGCATGGGACCAGCATCATAACACATGTTTGAACGGTTGAAACCACAAAAGACTGCAAACGCGCGGCTAATGCGAGCCGACATACGCCAAATCCAGATTCCGGCCAAACATGGTCTCGAGCAATAGATTACAGGTCAAACGTCATTTGGGTCAGGGTCATGGAATTTTCAGGGTAGGTGTAAAATTAATTAACTCGAGGATAATGAAAGCTTCGTCACGATCGGCCGCTTTTTACGCGAGTTATTTGCGAAAAAACGAGGGGAGTTATTCGACTCCCCCCCCCTATACAGGCGAGGGGTAATCCTCGCTGGGCCCTCTTGTTGAGGAGGGCAAGACCCCGCTTACCGCTTCAACCTCAATCGAGCTAATGATTTGCAAATAAGTGGCGAACAGTCTTTACAAACGTTTTCGGATTTGCCCATTGATTTGAAATAGTGAGCACATGTGACCGAAATACCCTAAAGCAATTCTCACGATAAAGCCGAGACATACCTGCAAGCTGATGGACTAGGGAGCATACTATTTCCTATAATATTCCGCTCCTTGCATAACATTCCCAGGCACCAGCAGAACTGTGATGTTGCAACATTTTTGGACTGAACAAAAATTCAGCTCACCTCAGCTCAGCGCACCTCAAGCCTCTAGAATCTAGATCCTAACCTTCTGGATCCTTACTTAGATTAAAGGATTTTGCACTTGTGATTAACACATACTAGTACAGCATATAAGACTCCAAGACCTCTGCCGCGACCTGATGGCGGATACCCAAAAAGTACTTGTTGAGTTTGTTGGGGGTGGCCTCAGGCACAGCTTTCTGAGTGAACTTCTTGCCTCCATCACCTGCTGAAGATTGAGGTAGGTGGAGACTGTCCCCTGCCTCCTCACCAGTTTAGCAGTACTGCTTCTGATGTCACATCAAGCTGACTAGGTAGTAGATATCTGGGTTTCTAGGGTGACGAAGGTGAGAGTCTGGCCCTCCCCGGCAAGAGGTCCATGATGCCATACTTTAAGCCAGTGTGGTGTCCAAGACGGGGGGTGCAGAGGGGTTGCAAGTTCTATGACGCTGTGAACCTAGGATTGATAAGAGTAGCTCAGTATGAAAAGGCAGCCCACTGGCCTGTCAATCACACATGCAAGAAAACCAAGCTCCAGTTGATGTAACTAAGCAAAGGGTACTCACTGTAGATAAATGCTGAATACCACAGCATGGTTAAGAGGGAAGGTGCCAGATGGTGTGCTGCTCCAATCCACAGCTTATGTTCAGTCTGAAAGAATACAATAAAAGTAAGATGAAAAAAAATACAATGGCACAACTAGTAGCAGAACAATGCAATTACACAGGATATATGTAACATTAAACTTAAAGGAAATAGTTCACTTTTAACATGGGGTTTTGAACTGGAATAGCAGTTCCGTAGCTTGAGCTGAGACTAGCACAAAGCAGGAGCTTTAACAGCCCAATGATCACCCTAGGCTAGGCGAAGATATTCCATTTCTCGTCCTGAAAAATGTGCCTTGCTGAGGAATGTGTCTTGCAGGGGTCATTTCCCTCTTTTAAAACTGAATAGTTCTTCCTAGTTCCTATATCAAAATATAGAAAATACTATTTTATAACAAGGTTAAATTTTCTCAGCTGGTCATTTTGAGCATAAAAAGTCATAAATCCATTGCACAAAAAAAATGAATTCCGTGAAAGTGAACTATTCCCTTTAAAATGCATTTGACCTATTTCTTGAATGTTATTGCAGTATCATTGAAACAAGAGTTTTAAGGTGGGTTATGGACAGTTATAGAGCTCAATCGAGCTATTAAGCTAATCAGGCTCTTAATTCAAATTGCAGAATCGAGCATTGCCAATAGCCAATAGCAGTAGGCGGAACTATGGTCAAGCGTAGCCATTTTCGGGAACGCATTTTCGTTCCCATGTTTGGGAACGATAAACCCAAATATGGGAACGCCATGGAGGCATTATTTAAAACAAGAAAAAGAACTGTTAAATGACGTCCAAAAAATATAAAACGATCGTGAACCGCCTGATAGTTGTCTCAATATTGTTGGGAAAGAGTTTGATATTGTAAGGCCCATCGTAGTTTCAAATCGTTCCCCTATTTCTAAAGCAGTCCATCACCCGGGCCGCGAGCCCAAATTTGGGAACGCTCTCGTACACTGGCGCTGCAAGCGTTCCTTATTATGGGAACGGCGTACCCAAAATTGGGAACGATTTCACCGACGCCTTTCAGGGGCTCTTTTCATTAACAAGCATCACGTCCAACGCCGCAAATTATTGTTAACGCAACAATCATCAGATGACCTTTCCTGCAAGACCGTTGCATGTTTCGCCCGGTCTTCTGCGCTTTTATTCCCGTCGATCTCGCAGCGGGCACGCCCCCCTCTGCAGGATTACGTAATCCACAACGCTCAGCGATGTTCAACAAGGTCTTCCATACCTATATCCACCGTCCGCGCCGAGGGTGGAGACATGTCAAGCACCTGTCTGCTAATCACCGAGAGTTGACGAGCACAGGAAGTATCCAAAAATGGGAACGCTGAATATGTTACACCCTCAAAACACCTAGTCCCAATGAAAATCTAGTTTTTTCCTTTCTTAATGAGTGTAAGTGGCAAAAGGCCTGGTAGGATGGGCACGAGGTATGATCGAAATCAGCATAAAAATTATAAATAAGCCACACAGAGCGACCTATATCAGAGAAATTCCCCCCAAACGATCATGCTTAGAAACGCCGAAGACAAAAACCACGCTCATGACGCTGCTTATAAAACAACGCTAAACAGCTAGCATCCAAATAAAATATGTCTTTCAGGGCTGATAAAATACAGTTGAATGATTTTAAACCACTGAAACTGAGTTAACAACAGTAGTTCGGTAAAATCACTGACGTTCCACGCGGTCGATCGCCCCGACACCAAAAGTCAACAATATTACCTCGGGACTGTCCGCGTGTTCGCTTGCATATGTCAGCATCTGGTGTCGCTAGAATGAAATTTCATAACCAGGAGAAAATTATTATACTTGACCTCAAAATGTAAAAAATGCTTCATTTTCCTTAAAATTGCATGTTAAATGTCGTATAACCCATATTTCCACCATTCTGTCATTTTTAAAAAATCATTAAAAATATCATTCCACGGCCAATTTCCTTGTTCCACGGTCAGATTAAAGATAACTTTATGGAGATTTAGTAGATACTTAAATCAGCGTGCACTTTTTTGAGACGTGATGCACTTTTGAGTTTTAGTGGGCGAACGGCCGAAAAATTGCCTTCCGTTCTCATAAATGGGAACGCCCGTTCCCATATTTGGGAACTCCGTTCCCAAAAATGGGAACGTTCCTATATTTGGGTACTCATGACCATAGTTCCGCCTACTGATAGGACACTACACACTAATGACAGAAATCTTATCTTTATGAATTTATTCATGTTTTACATCACACATCACACAATAAGTGAAACTACTAACAAATGGTTGAAATACTAAACACTTCCAGCTTTATTTCAGGGTATAGGTGGACATAAAATGCAACAATATTGAAGTTTGATGCTTTCTGCTGCGCAGCTGCGCCACTTCTTTCAACTTAAAAAACATGCAGAATGAGACGACCTAATGACATGAAACCATAACTACGGATCAATTTCAAGCTCACCTTTTACTACCGCATTCATAACGAATAAATTAAAACCTCTCAGAAATATAAATACGCGTATACTTGCGGAGCGCGCACCCCACCACCGCGGACCAAAACACTCACAAAGTGGAATGCCAAGGTCGAGTATATTGACCTCGACGGCCAGTGATTTGTTGCAGAAGCGGTTTAGTGACGTCATCGGGTGACTGGTCGTTACGATCGTGTAGTGTAGTGCTATATGTAGATGCTGCGATTATAATCAAAATTCAAACCGCAGCACCATGATAGTTATTGCTTTTGATAAATTCATCACATTTATGGTAAAATGCATATTTGGTAACTGATAGGGGAAAGTGGGTGTATTGCGCCCTCCTAACCAATTGCGCCCACCAACATTCCCACGAATTCAATGGCATGTTGATGTTTAGAATTTTGTGTTCGAAAACATTCTTTTCACCACTGCATTGTTCATTTTATGGCCCAAACACTCCGATGAAGCCAATCAGCCAGGCTGACTACGCCATCAAAGATGTTATGGCGTTTTCTTAACTTTTTTGCAGTATTTTGAACTGTTGGGTTGGCTATAAAAATTTGCGATAATTGTGTGATTTTCAGAGTGATATTTAGAAAGAAAACCCCTTTTTTCATTGTATTTCACTGAAACCGTAAACTTCCTGCAAAATCTTTATGATAACTTCTATGCTTTTATTAAAAAGTACCTCAATTTTAATTGCGCCCATGGCAATTGCGCCAGGGGGGCGCAAATAGTATAATGGTGTAGCCATTGTATCACGACAGTATGAATGCATAAAGAAGGAGTTTAATGTCAGGCAAGGGAGCAGCCCGCTGTCGTCAGTCCGCAAATTATTTCTATCGTCAAACTTATAATGCAGCTGCCATTTAGGCTACGACTTGTGGTGTAATTGACAAAATACGACATTTTCAACATGGACTTAGGCGTGAGAAGTGACAGCTAAGATAAAAATAAAAAACTGATGTCATTTAGTTGTCAAAACGATAAAAAAATTAATTTTGAGAGAAACTATTGAAAATTTAACTGTGTAGGCGCATACGTTTACATATATTTAGTCTGTTACAGTAAACGTTTTCGTTGCACTTTTACAAGCGTACGGACACATGTAACGTTATCTACCTGGGCAAAAAACATTGCGATTTATATCTACCTTTATTATTTATCCAGCCTGAATAACATTATAAATGTTTAAGTAAGTCGCAATGACATTAGACTGCCGGGGTGTATGTATTCCGTCTCATTCACTTAGCCATGTTAAAGTATAGGGCGCATTTGGGTTCTAATTGCGCCATCCCCCTGGCGCAATTTACAGCAGTTGTTGGCAATTGCGCCCTTTTGCATGTTTCTGAAAAAGCAGCTGTCAGAAGCAAACGAAACATTCTTTATTGATCGGGAGGCTCTTAAATCGTAGCCAATGAGCTCCTCTTTGAAATGGTTACCACTGCATGCTTATATCTCCAGCGGTTTTCTTACAATTAGCGTTTTTCCTTAAGGTGGCGCAATTCACCCTCCTTCCCCTAAGTGATATTGCTTGCTCTTCTCTGGACCCTGGGCATACCTACCTACTGCTCCAAAAGAGGAAGGAGAGCCGGGAAGGGCTGGTGCACGGTGACATTGGCTGGTGGAGCGCGGCCGCCTGCCGTTTCGTCCCTAAATAGCTTGCGCTTCGCATACAAAGATCTTATGTGCCATTACAAGTTACATTATAGGCGTTATCACAAGTGTATTCGCGGCCATTGGGGCGACGTAAGAAAAGAAGAAACCAACTGGCCCCAAGAACTTTAAATTATCAGTTAGCATGCACCTTTTCCTTGATGTGTAGAGAATTTACCATTATTTGTTACAGAAAATTGCATTTAAAATCTTCAATTTATGCTTTTTTCATCGTTTGCACAATATGTTCTTTTACTCAGCTAGAAACACTAATTAGAAATAGTTCCCGCATCATCAAGAACAATAGAGAAGGCTCGAAGTGAATAAAATAATTTAAATGGTTTTGTTATCTATGTGAAGACACTTCTAAAATTGCCTGCAGAAATATTGAAGGCAAAAGTTCAACTTTATCACAAGACGGATGTCTATAAACCTATTTAACTTGTGACAACTCAGCCGGTATTTCGTCGCCTACAGCCCAGCTTTCCCTAGTGACCGATAGAGGCGCTGCTATCGATGTCCGCCCGTGCCGCCTAACCAGACGCAGCGGCTGGTACCCGATATAAGCCATTGACCTTTGATACCAGGCTACCCCGCGTGCCGCTGGGAGTCCTGGATTTTCACGCCGCCTGCTGGGGGGGGGGGTGAACACCTCCCCCCTATGGCTCTAACTCGGCTTCTGAGCCATGTAGCGACACGTGGTAAAGCGGCATTCGAAAGAACGTCCAAAGTAAGGAATAAGGATACTTCAGTCAATTTTTAGGTCAGGTCAAAGGGTCACTAGAGGTCATCAAAGGTAAAATGTTCCCAATTTCAACACTTAGCGCAATACCGGCACATATAAATCGGGAACGGCCAATAGAGCCAGCGACGCGGAAAAGTGCACTTTCGAAAACCCATCTTAGGTCGTGATGATCTGACCAGAAAAGGTCATGCTGCATATCAGTCGATCCGTATCGTCGAGCTGAACACATCTGGCGCTTTCATCGCTCCAGCACACCTCTTTAACCCTCGCCCGTATTGGTGTTTTTCCAGCCGCGAACGTATAAGGGGGGGGTCCGTTGGACCCCCCCTTGCCGTTTCGCCCCTGATCAAGCTAGAGCTTCGCGGAAAAAACGAGAGTGTTGCCCGTGACGAGAGGAAGCCGATGATACCCAATTTTAAGGTCCTAGGTCATTGGTTGACCTTGCAGGTCAGGTCAATGACCCCAAAGGCGGGAAAATCGGGACCTGTTAGAACGTCGTAAAGTGTGGCTGCTATGGGGTTTTTCGGGGTGCAGATCACGAATATCATGTTAGTTTTGATCACCGATGATGTCTTCATGTATTTAGGCCAGGTCGGGTCAGGTCAGGTCAGGTCAACCAGTAAGGGTATTCGTAGTAGGTGGCAACCGCCTCTGACAGCTTCGTAACATGTTACGAAGGCATCAAAACTACTTCGTAAATGTTCATATGGTTGCTAAATTCGAATTCAGCTCCAAAAACTGGCCTAGAAACATGTAAAACTCGAAAAAGTGAACCGAGGTCACCAAAGGTCAATGACCTGACCTGACCTTCAGGTGACCTTGACACCCACCCTAATGCATGGGGGCAACATCATATCACATGTTTGAACGCTTGAAACCACGAAAAGACTGCAAACGCGCGGCTAATGCGAGCCGACATACGCCGAATCGCGATTCCAGCCAAACATGGTCTCGAAAAGTAGGTCACAGGTCAAAGGTCATTTGGGTCAGGGTCATGAAATTTTCAGGGTAGGTGTGAAATTGATGAACGCGAAGGTACTGAAAGTTTCGTCGCGATCGGCCGCTTTTTACGCGAGTTATTCGCGAAAAACCATGGGGGGGGGGTCCGTTCGACCCCCCCCCCTATACGGGCGAGGGTTAAGTTATCAGCGAATACCTAACTGTAAGATTCCATTCGTGACCTGGATGACCTCAGGGACATAAGAAGGGGTCACGGGTGCCATTTTCCGGTTCAGTGTGTCATGAGTTGTAACTCGGTATTTGAATGTGTTTAGAATGACGTTCGTCTGAAAGAGGCGGCGTCTTTTATCCCCCTCTCCCCCCCCCCAATGACGCTTTCCCTTCCCTCGCGCTTATAGGCGAAGGGGGGATCGAAAGGACCCTCCGCTTTTCGCGAATAGCTCGCGCTAAAAACGGCAGACGGCTGATCGCAACGAAACCTTTAGGACCCTCGATTTGATCAATTTTACACCTAGGTAGGGTAAGGTGCCTAATTAGCGACCCTTTCCGATTTGCGACCTACCTCCCTACAGAAAAACTGGCAAGAGAAAACGGGGTAAAAATATCGTCAAAAGGTCAGCCATACTTTGGTTATCAAATTAAATTATTTTCCGGTCATCGATGTTTCTGGTGGGACGTTTCAGGTGAGTTTAAATAAAAACGACGAGTTTCTTATCCAAAACGTGTGTGTTTGGGCCCTCTCTGATGAAAAGCGATGCACATTAGGATGATGCACCTTTTTTATTCTGAATCGACATTCCTTTTTCAATTGATTGCCGTTTTCCCATAGTGAATCGCTCAACTGTGTGGTCAGCATGACGGTTAAAAATGTGTCGCAACTCCTATTTCCTATTTGCACCTGGCATGGTCGCAAATAGCTCAAGAAGGGAAAGAAAGTGGAAAAGAGAGAAATGAAAATGAGGTGTTGCTGAAGCTTGCAATGTGTGGCAGGGGATGCCAAATGTCGTCACCGACTGCAGGGGTGCCGAATTCAGCGTGGACCTCGAATATCATACGAGATAGCCGGCAAAATTTGGGGTTCCGCCTTCTTTTCGCCTTCGGTGCATCACGTGATCAGTTTTTATTTACATAAATGTGTTGGATAAACGTTCCTGTTCGAGTGATTGAGTGCTTTGCGTATGGGTTACCTTTTTGAGATCATATTTCATCTTTTCAGGCGTCGCATTTTTTGCCATTTTTAATATGGGGAAACCCATAGACTTATTAGCGACCCTCCCCGGTCGCTAATCGGGAAGAGTTCCCTATTAGCGTTTTTTGCAATGGTTTGCCAAAAGGCTCACTACAAATACGCTAGTGAATATTGGGGCAGAAAATGACTATATTTTAATAGAAAAATGAGCGATCTCTGCGAAAATCAAGCCAGTAATACAGTGGAACCCACAGAGCGTGAGCAATGACGGTTCAAATTAAGGGGGTCGCTAATTAGGCACCTTACCCTACCCTGATAATTTCATAGCCCTGACCCAAATGACATTTGATCTATGACCTGTTCCTCGAGACCATGTCTGGATAGCCGAATCGCGATTCGGCGCATGTTGGCTCATATACCTACCTATTGTCCGCGCCAAGTCCAGCCTTTTGTGGTTTTAAACGCTCAGTCATGTGAAATGATATAGTTTTTGGAGCTGATTTCGATATATGGCACCCATTTGAACATTAACGAAG